GCACAGTGATGTGTATGGAAGCACCTGACCTTGGACAGTGGTGCATCCTCTATGTGTTTATGTGGAAACGGGGGGAAAAGGGCAAAAAGGGAGAACTGAAGAGTACAATTTAGGGGGAAATGTGGATTTAAAGGGAACAAAAAGGACTAAAGAATAACATTTAGAGAAAAAGGTGGATAGAAGAGCAGAAAAAAAGAGGACTGAGGGGACATTTAGTGGAATACAGGGATAAAAGAGCAAAAATGAAGAACTGAAGAAGACAAATTAGGGGAAAAGGAGGATTAAAAAAGATAACTAAAAGATAACATTGAATGGAAAAGAGGGAAAAAATAGCAAATAATAAGAACTAAGGAATGACTTTGATTCTAAAATAGAGGGAAAGGAGCAAAAGGAAAGAACTAAAATATACATTTTAGAGGAAAACAGGGACAAAATAGCACTCAAGGAGAACTGTAGAATACTGTTCAGTGGACGAGGGGGCTTGAATTGCAAATACGGAGAACGTCATAATAACGTTTTGAGTAAACAGGGAGAGATTGATGTTAGAAATGGTTGCTTTTAATTAGTTAATTTTCATGATAAGTTAATCCACTTAGTTAGAAAGACAGACTCTTTATGAGCCCCTGTGATTGGAAAAGGTCTCCCTGAACATGGTGATATGTGATATACTGTATGCAGTAAAAGCTAGCTATCATCACTGACTTACTGCAGGGGGCCAAGCAGTCATTTAATTGATAGTCACCTCAGATATTTGCTGGAAATGTGCCACATTTGTATGACATGCCAAATCAAACCTAGCATGGATTACATTCAATGTATTATAGTGTTGAAATTAGTTTGATAGAAATGTGATTTTTCATTCAGTTAAAAGGCTGTCCTGTTCACTATAACATTCAGTCTGTCTGGTGATATGAATGAGTAACAGGCTCGTCCCTCAGCGTTGTTGTTGGTCGGGGGGGCAGCTCCCATGTTGGAATGTGCGTAACTGTATGAGCGTGTTCCAGAAAAAGAGCCACCGTAGCATTCTTTGCATATCTCTCATGGATAAATAAAGTTACACTGGAGAACACAAGTTGTAACTCTGCTGCTACAAACAACCAAGATATTATTCAAACTAGCTTTACTGATCTGCAGTTTTTTTTTCCTATCAGTGTTCATTTTGGCCCCAATGAATTGATTAAAATGTAAGTTGGTCAAAGTCCTTAATGTCCACCTGATCTGATTCAAATCTGAGTTAATATTACTAGGTTTTGCAAAAGTAAAACTGACAAAATTATCAGTTACTTACCGCTGCTAATAAATACCTCGGAAAATGTGTAGGATTTTCTTTCCGTCATTTCTTTAAGTAAAAATGAAACTTTCATACTTCACAATAAATAAACATAATTTGACCTTTTATCGAAATTGTAGAAAAGCCCAAGTTTTGGTCTGTAAATTGTCTTGTTGTCTGTCTTAAACCACATGTTTTGCTTTTGTACATGGCCTCCACAATGGATTATCATAGCTGCTCTCAAATGGTTGAATTGCTTCAATTGTATTACTTACTTACTAATTTGGACGTTAAGATATTAATGTGATAAACAACATAGTGACAAATGCATTCCTGGCTCAGACTGATAACCTAATGTGGCACAGCACCAGAGCTGGAGAACCTGAGAGGCATGGTGATGAAAACAGGGGAAGAGTTGATGGCAGGAATCACAGCAGGAGCATTCATTTCAATGGGAAGACACTTTCATTGGTTCTATTTTTGTACTTGAATGTTTTTTATGGGCTCTCCTAACATTACTGTAACTGCATACTGTACTGTCTGTTGTTGCTCAGCAATACGTTTATGTATGTTTGAAGTGGCAATATGCCTTCCCTTTTCTCTCTTTAGCTGCCTAAATAATGTTTTTATTCTTATTTTAACTTTTTTGTTGAGGCTGTAAAGAAATACAAAACCGGGCTTACACATGCTTCTGAATAAAATCAAAGGTTGGGTCGTGAAGTGAGTTTGCATCTATTTTTTTTAATCAGGAAACTAGTATTTTTAAAGAGGAAAATATTCAAATGGTTTATTTTATTTAACAGATAAAGATAAGAAAATATGTCTTCAGTTCTATCTTTAGTTTGATTGTGATGAATGAATCTGATGTGCAGCTGTTGGTTTTATCAGTGGATTGGCAAATTCTCAACTGGACTTCTGTGCGTTTTGGCTCCTCAGAGCGTGATGCTTTAAACTGGTATTCTGATAATGCTCTGAGTTATGAGCGGTCGAGCCTGGTGCCACTTTGAACTCAAAAGGCTTGGCATGGTGCCTTACAACCCCTCTCAGGGTTTAGAGAACCTCCACAGCACGCCGCCTCACACAGCGCGTAGCTTTCATAAGACAGAAACCCACCAAAGGTTTTATTGTGGATAAGAAACGTTTGCTGGTCTTTTCCTCCACTTGTGTTGCTGGTGTTACCAAACCAACATTTTCCGCTGTGATACTGACGGCCAGATTCAAGTCCTTTTGTTTGCTGCACCTTTCATTGAGTGTGCACTTCCACTCTTTGTGCAGTTAGCATCTTATTCATAAAGGCTGGAGATAATTATGCAATCAGTCTGATCAAATGTAAGTCTCAACCACTTTTCAGTCCCTTAAATAGTTATGCAATATAAGTGAAAAATAATGTCTGTCTATCAACTTGTGGCTAAATATACCACTTTCCTAATTTGGTTAGATTGGCTGTGATCTATTGTTATCTCTGATGTCCATGGTAAAGAAACATTCATAATTATGTTTTGAAGTCATCAAAAAATAGACACTTCATATAAGCCTCACTGACAATACTCATGTTTTTATAATGTGTTTTAGTGTCAAAGTACTCCAGTGATAGCTGTGCGTAAACTAATGGGTATGTTATAAAGGAACTGCTAATAGCCAATTTAGCATACTTGTAATGGTGCTAATTTTCCAGTTTTTAGCCCATACCTAACAACATGACATATATCTGTTCTGCTCAAAAACACTCTACAGCTATACAGATTCATAACAGTTGCAAATCAAGTTTTATTGTTTCATAACAACAAAGTTAATGTATATTATGTGTGTTATACTGGTGCAGCATGTACTTGATGTAGGGACGGTCTACAAATGAACGTCTTACTAGGGATTTCATTAGCCTTGTTACAGAAGATTGATAAAAACCACGTTAACATTTTAAATTCAACAGGGTCATACAATAAATAAAGATGTAACGTTGCTGCATGAATTAAGAAATAAGATTCAGAAACATTTACAAAGACACCAATGGAGTTAATTATAATAATGGAAATAGGCTGAATTCAGGAAGTTCACTCTCGATCACTGGATAAACCTGTGTGTCTGATGGCATGGCGTCGGATAAGCCCCCCGAGTCTCTGCCCCACAGAGTGGATGCTGACACCAGAAACACTGTGTGTGTGTGTGTGTGTATTGTGTGTGTATTGTGTGTGTGTGTGTGTGTGTGTGTGTGTGTGTGTGTGTGTGTGTGTGATGATGATGAACCCAGATAAGATCCATTCAGTGAGTGGGAAATGAGCTCAGCTGTCAGCTTTAGCCAACAATCTGTCTACAACAACACAGATCATGGTGCAGTGAGCATGACAGGACTGTCTGTAGCACTTATATTTAAATTACCCACAAAGCCAAAGTTATTCTGAATAAATCCAGTGAAATATCATCTCATGTGTTGTTTTTTAAGCTTAAAAGCCTCGATTACCCAATTTAAGAAAAAAACAAATACCTGATGAATTAGTGTTGGGGAATAAAAACTGATAATGATTGTTTTGTTCCTTTAATATATATTTTATTATATGACTAAAATGTCTAAATGATGCTGCTATTTGGCTACCACTAACACACTTTTTATTTTGTAAAGCATGTCATGCCAATTGGGGACTTTCCAGGATATCACTGAAGGCTTTTCAGAGTATTTTTGGACATAAATACAACGATTTCCATCTAAAGGACTAAATCTATATGAAATATTTAATGCAAAGACTTCATGTTTTTATGGCTGCAGTATTCCAGGAGCACATTCCAGATGTGTTTATTGTATGTTCAGTAAATCAGTTCCAATTTGTCGCCACTGAACCCTGGAAACTCAATAAATAATATAGTTGTTTCTATCTTTACTACAAAGATAACCATCTTTTACTGGTTTGTCTTTGATTGAGAATGACCCTCTTTTTGGACAAATATCTATTTTGTATAATATGTTGACTGTCTGTCGTTTCTGTAAATGAATGGACCATATGTTCAGCTCCCTGCTAGAGTTGACTTGTGAAAGAGGGTTTGTGAATGAGCCCAGTTGCAGAACTAAGAGCCTTTTGTGTGTGTATATGCTTTCTAGAGAATAGGTGGGTTGCTAGGTTAATAGGCACATGAGCAGAGGGTAATTGGAGAGTGCCCCTCCTGTGTTACTGTGTACGTCTGGGTGTGGCTCACAGGAGCTCTGCACTGCAATCATGAAATCAGGGACTCACTGATGGTCTGCCTTTAGGCCTGTTTGTATTCCTTTTTTAAATCTAAATATTCTGATACATTCCTTGTGTCTACCTTGTATAACCTTCCTATCAACATTGGCTTGGATTAAGCAGCCTTCTTTGCTTTTGAAAAACACACAGGCATGTTCTCTTTCACTCTTAACCTTTTTTGAGCTCTTATTCATCTTCTATAAAGGCTTTCCATATGAAATGTACCCTATGTTTTTTTCTCCACCTAATAACATACTTGCCTTTAAGGATTTATTCAACTTATCTCTAATTGCAGGGATTCACATGGATGAAGTATCAGCTTCTGACTAAGCATCCCAAATAATAACTAGCTTAGAATAAGCTCTGAGCTCTTGCTGTCTTTAAATAATTAACGCTTTTTCTTTTCACTTAACCCGAACGAAATCTTTTAACATACGAATTTCTTTGGTATTCCTGTACCTGCGTTGACCTTTGTGAAGTAAAGATGACAACATGCTCCTCTCTGTGTCCTGCAGACGGATATAAATGCCTGTTATCTGCGATCAGCTCGGGCCGGGAACCTCGAGAAAGCTTTGGACTACCTGAAGAATGGAGTCGACATCAATATTTGCAATCAGGTGGGAAGCATGATAACGTATAGTTCTAAGGAAACAAGAGTCTACCTCCACTTCATGGTGGTCTGTTTTTATCTTGTACTATAACAGTGAAGCTGCCAGTAAGGTCTGTGGGGCATTCAAGTGGTGATTAACCTAAAATGACAAAAAACACTTTCCCAAATTTGCATTGGCTCCTGAATAAATTGCTATAAACACTGTTTCCATGTGACACTATTGCCCTTATCTCCAAACTTAATGATTTCACGAGATGAATAACTTTGGTGATCTTTTCACATTTCTTATTGGGTCATCATCAGGTCGACATTTATCTACCGTTTGGTTCTTAACTAAAAAGGCTTACCTGCAAAACTAATAGAAGCCCTACTGTAGCTGTACGTTTTCTGCTTATTAGCAAGAGTTAACATGCTCCAGAGGTGGGAGAAGTACTCAGATCTCGTACTTGAGTAAAAGTAGAAGTTACAGAGTGTAGGAATACTTACTGTTACAAGTAAAAGTCCGGCAACATACAGAAATATTTGCATCAAAATAAACGTATGTACCAAAAGTAAAAGTATTCATTATGCATATTGGCCCACTTTCAGAATCATAAACTGTATATGATATGTTTTGATTATAATTATTGATGCATTAAAGTGTTACTAAGTAAAAGAGCAGAAGATTGAACAGGATTCATATTCTTTTCACAATAAAGACAAACAAAAGGGTTTAATCTCTTTTTTTCTTTCTCTCCAGAATGGTCTAAATGCTCTCCATCTGGCCTCGAAGGAGGGCCATGTGGAGGTGGTGGCTGAGCTCATCAAGCACGGCGCCAACGTGGACGCAGCTACCAAGGTGTGTGTGCTGCCCAGGAGTCACAAACACACTCGATCCCTCACATACTGTAGAGTGCTGCGTCAGCTCCTTCCCAAAGTCACATTGTAAAGGAGATGAATGGCTGCGTGGTAATGGAGAAGTTCGGTGAACTGATGAAGGAATCATTTGGCCTTGTGGTTATTTGTTTCCCACATAATCTTAATTAAATGACAGTGATGCAGTTTCACGTAGCAAAGAAAATTCTATTGAATCAGGATGTATCTGCAACTACTTCCTGTTCTGGAGCTGGCAGCTCTTTGTACGTTTAAAGTGGATATTTATGTACTAAGTGTTTACAAATGCTAAAGAGGGGTTATTGGCAGAAAATAGAGGTCATGTGTGTGGAGGCTGGGACTTGTACAGTACCTGCCACAAGGTCTCTGTCATTAGTTTGGTGTAGGGCAGGACCTCTGCAAAGGTTGGTATGGTGATCAACTGGAGGTGGGGGTGTGACAGGCAGCTGTTGTTCTCCGCCTTAGTTAGCTGAAGCTCAAGTCCTCTTGGATGCCAGTCTAGTTCAAGTTGAAGACAGGTTAACTAGTACGACCTTCTGGGTTACTCTCCTCCTTTTCACTATCAATGTTAGCATCCTAGCTCTTAGCGAGCTGTTCCTTTAGTTCGCTGTTCCACTGCTCTAACATTTTTTATTCATGTTTGTTAGTGAACCGGTAGAGTATATTCTAAGGAAACATCAGTAAAACTTTCAAAAGCTTGCCGCTATAAAAATTCTAACAGTCCATCGTTGAATAATCCATGGGTTCCGGAGGATTATACTGGCAGCGGTCTCCAGGAGAAATATGGCTGAGGAAATAGGGTTGTTCTGATCCGTTACCTTCATTATGGAAAAGTGCCTATATGTAATATGTTTACATTAAGAATGGATCAAAAGACTAGACTAGAATGAGAGAGAGGTCATGGTGACAAAACCATGTAGATGTATGACCCAACCCCAAAAAGTGTTGGCGTTTTTCAGTTCTTGTTTTGGCTTTAAGGCCCACCAGGTTACTGTTCTGCTTGAGTGTCACCATCAGCAATGTTTTCAAAGGCAGCAAGCAGCCATTCTTTGGGTGAATTTGTTTCATACATTCTGGAGCAAAGTGGATGGACTTATAAATCCAAATGAATGCTGTTTAATTTGTAAATAGGCATCTGGTTTTTAACAAATGTGTTATAACAACTTCATTAAGTGATACTATATCTGTGTTGTATTTGATGCTTGTATCAGCGTTAAATAAAAAATCTAAATGCAGGTTTAGACGTTTATAAACCCGACGGAAAGCAGAAAAAGAAAGCACCAGCTTTTGCTTAATTTCTGCATATTATCTCTATAGGAGGAAACTGCTGGCAAATTCAATGTGCTCAAATATTGTTACATAAGCCTGCATGAAATTGTGCTTTCTAGTCTTAATGCAGTGTAGCAGCATGAGAGGAAAAAAGAGAAAGGGCAGCCTAGATCCTGGAATGAGGGGAGGTGTTTATGTGGAGTTCCCATTGGCAGCAGGAATGACAACATGGCAACAGCTGCTGCTGACACACACAGACACAACAGGTGCATCCATTAGAGGTTCAGTATATGGAACTCACCCTCATACCAACTCTAACACAATCTGCATGTACATTATACAGTAAGAGGGTACTTTCTTGACTGAGACCGCTCACCCTTCTCCCCTCCTGCTGCACGTTCATAGTAATGTCTTAATATTATGTAAAAGAAAGTGACAGACATGCTGACTGATTTTTCAGAAGTGATTCTAGCAAGTTTTAAATCATTTATTCACTAGGAGCAGTGGGCAGCTATTGTACAGCGCCCGGGGAGCAATGGGAGTGGGGGGGAGGGGGGTGTCCGGTGCCTTGCTCAAGGGCACCACGGCAGGGCCCAGGAGGTGAACTGGGATCTCTCCAAGTAGCAGTCCCTACTAGGTCTGTAGTTAGGGGACTTGAACCGGCGACCCTACGGCTCACAGTCCAAGGCCCTACTGACTGAGCCACTTTACGCTTTACATTTTAAGTAATTTCTTTTTTGTGTGTGTGTTTTGTGTTATGATGTTTATTTCCTATATTATTTAATTGCAATTAAGAAAATGACATAAAGAAATGCTTTGAAATAACTGAGGGTCAGAATGTGTGTCGTATTTTTATTGCGGATTTGATCTGCCATCTAGTACCACATTCATGGGATTAAAATACATCTTAGAAGTTTATTTTACTATAAAGATCAAAAACGTTTAAATAATAATTGTATTTTACAATGGAAAAGCTTATTTTCATGTGTTTTCTAACTCAACATTTTCTAATCATTTTCAAGTGATTTGGAACTACAGCTTCCATAATTGGGGGATGTAAACAGGTTTACTATGATAACAGAAATAAAATAAAGATCATGACCCTAAGGCAAGTTCTGAACTTGTTCTTTGCTATGATTTTAGAGCAGACATTTATTCTGAGATAATGATATCCTGGGGTGATTAAGATGCAATTAGAAATAGAAAATGTACTCATATCTCTGTGTAAATGTTTGACCGGGTTTATGATTTGAAGTTGAAAGTTATTTAAAAGAAAGTTTATAGTGTGTATTTCCTGTTTTTCAAAGCAGAAAGGAAACACAGCTCTTCACATAGCCTCCCTCGCTGGGCAGATCGACGTGGTGAAGGAACTCGTCACCCACAGTGCCAACGTCAATGCACAATCTCAGGTAAGACACACACACACACACACACCCCACAAAGCTCTCTAATTTTCAAATCATCTCTGTTGGAAATCCACGTTTGAGTGTGTGCTTTCATGCAGATTAATGCGTATACAGCTAGTGTACATGCAGTCTGTGTGTGTGTGTGCGTGTGCGTGTGCGTGTGCGCGTGCGTGTTTGTTAGCAGCTCTGCAGTGCTTCCTGGCCCACATTCAATCGTCAGCACACACACACTGTTCTGGTCACCACAGCAACCACAATAATGTCAACGTCAAAGCCTTGGCCTGAGGCTAGAGCTTTTCTGGTTCGGAACCGGTTTTTCTTTTCAGCCCCCGTTTTGTTCACACCGCCCAGAGCCCGACTGGTGCTGCCGCTGCTGCGTCATGACGTCACCGTTTACGTCGCTGATTTTCTCCCCAGCGGCGTCGGGTCGATGATCGTGTTGCTTTTAATCATACGAAGCCAGATTCAATTAAATAACTACTTCTCAACCCTTGTACTTTTCTCCAGAGTGCCGTGGTTCATTGTTTATTAATGTGTTTCATCGGCATTTAGCGACCGCTGCAGTGCTGCCTGCTGTTTGGCATCACAACGCTGTTATGAAAGTTTCTCTGGTATAAAATGGGTGATGTTAGCATAGCAACCGAAGCTAAAAATGACTATCTTGACTACTTGTTGCTATCCTATTGTGGCATAAGCCGGCACATTTTACCGGCGTATTTTTCATTATGATTCTACTTCTGATAGTCGGACATGAGTCATGACAACCTGTGCAGCCCATGTATTGATTCCATCCAGGGGCGGACTGGGACTAAAAATCAGCCCGGGAAACTCAACCGGCCGACCAGCCCAACTCAGTACCGCTAGTCAATTGTCAACGGGGGGGGGGGGTGCTAGTGAATTGTCCGAAAGGCCCACTTCGCTACTGGCCCACCGGGAAAACTCCCGGTATTCCCAATGGCCAGTCCGCCCCTGATTCCATCTGATAGCTGCTATAATACAAAACAAAACGTCTGCCTGCTCTCCACAATGATCAATGACAGCGAACGGATGGTCAAAGTAAGGTACAAATAAACAGAATCACACTAAGCCTGGTTAGTGTTGCCTGACTTTATAAAGTGTGTGGTTGCGTTCTAGTCACTTTGCTCAGCACTACTGCTTGTTACAACTTTTATTTGCCGTACTCGCCTTTAACTGTTAGCTCAGGTTAATCTCGCCCCCCTCCGACGTAAGCGTGACGTATGCGGTTCTTGCTTCTAGACCGACAATGTTTTGGTGCTTGAAACGAACCGGATTCCGGAGCTTATGCCCCTTTCACACCAACGCAGTTCCCGTTCTAGCTCCGTGCTAGAGCTTTTCTGGTTCGGAACCGGTTCATCTTTTCAGCCCCCGTTTTGTTCACACCGCCCAGAGCCCGACTGGTGCTGCCGCTGCTGCGTCATGACGTCACAGTTTACGTCGCTGATTTTCTCCCCAACGGCGCTCACTACAACAACAATGGGGGACTGCATCGGGTCGATGATCGTGTTGCTTTTATTCAGACGAAGCCAGATTAAATTAAAGTGGACCTATCATGCTATATTTAAATGATATATTGTAGGGCCATACCTATATAAGGTATATTTATACATTTCTGTTTTCAAAATACTAAACAGATCATGCATTTTAGCCATGCCTCATTTCGCTCTATGTGCTGTTTGCTGTCTACGGGTCTGATTCTGCTGACCACGCCCTGGCTGCTGGGCTGTCAGAAGACGGGGAGAAAAAGAGATCTCCGTCCTCCGTGTTTTATTATATAGAGTCGTTATTCATTTGTTTTAAAGCTCAATAAATAACAAAGAAGACCTTTGACCGGCACTTTTCTAATTTTGTCCGGAAGATTTAAACTTTAACGGACATCTTGACCGGCGAAAGAAACTGAAACTGAAACTCTGCCGCACGGTCCCCTCGTTCCTTGGAAGCGCTACTGCTTGTTACAACTTTTATTTGCCGTACTCGCCTTTAACTGTTAGCTCAGGTTAATCTCGCCTCCCTCCGACGTAAGCGTGACATATGTGGTTCTTGCTTCTAGACCGACCATTTTTTGGTGCTTGAAACGAACCGGATTCCGGAGCTGAGAGGCGGCTCCGCTGCGGTGTGAACAGGAAAACCCGGTGCTTTTCAGGCTCTAGCTCCTCGGCTCTGGAACCGCGTTGGTGTGAAAGCCCCATCAGTGAAAGCACCGCCTGCTGACCAATCAGAGCTCCGTGTGCGGAGTTTAAAGTGATCAAGTCATATTACAGGAGAAAGGAAATACAGTTTAGACTGCCGTTCCAGGAAAGACGGCCTGCAAAAATCCCAGACTGTGTGAACGTGAACATTAATAGAATATCACCTCCCATCTTCAAAGCAATCTGACTATTATAGCGTTAAGAAAGCTTACTTAAATATCTGCCACAACATAAGTAACCGGATCAAAGTAACGTTACGTACAGTCCGCAGCACTGTGAGTGCAGACTTCGATGTGTCCCATTATCATTCATATCACATCATAATATATAATTGTGTGTCATATCACATCATAATATATAATTTCCTTATCTGAGTCAGCTTCTTGAGCCGTATCTGGCCGTGCAACACTCACAGTGTCACATACTGTATGCAGAAGTATTATTTTAAGCAACACATTAAGTTGACGAAACACTCGAGTCAAATGTAATTAAAGTCAGATCCACTCGTGTCTTAGACGGGGCAGTGATATCATAAACCTGTTAATGTACGCATTCAAACACTTGTTTCTTTTACCAGCTGTATTCACCTAGCAGGTGCAGCTATGTGGCTTTTATCCTGGATAAAGTGTTTAAGTCATGGATGTTTAAAGTTTAACTTCTTCATATGTCTAATATTATAGTTTATTTTTCATTCAGGAAGTATGACGCTGTGCTGTCAGTACGCTTCTCCATGTTTGTGATTGGTCAAATGTTGCTAGCCCCGCCCCTTTCATGTGAACGCGCACATAACTAGATAGGGCACACACCGGGCTTGAGTTACCGAGTTGATAACCAGCGTCGTAGGACCGTTTAGCGAGAGCACGTTTGTTTTGGATTAAGTAAGCCGGGTAACTCAAACATATCCAGGGTATGTTGAACTGGATTCTTAGTACAGGCCTCAGAGCTGCTGAGAGAATGAAGATGACGTTGGAATTGATCAGCGATAATGATTTGTTCTAAACTGAACGTTATTAAAACATCATCTTTAGTTGTATTTTTGTTAAAGAATACAGCGCAATAAGGAAAGTAGTGTGTAGAGATGGCTGGTAAATTAATAAACAATGTTTTTATTATAATGTACATGTTGATGTTTTCAGAAGTCTGCACAGCTACTTCACAATCTATATAAAAGGAAAATATAATACTTGAACAAATTATATAATCCACATTAATGCAATAGGTAGGGAACATGTGTATTGTTTGTTGTTGTAATACTCAGTTTGTCCACAAGAGGCTTAGGTGAAATACTATGCCATGTTCAAAATGATTAAAATTCACCACAATACCTTCACAACCGTACAAGATGTAAACATGACGGATATCTAAATGTGATCTGAATGAAGGTTGAGTTCATATGGGGGGCAGGATCTTGGCAGGATCTGCGGTTTTATTCTTTAGTTACTTGGCAGAGTAGTTTATTTTCCACTGCGTCCTTGGTCATCGCTGCATTTTGACTGTGAAGGTGCATTGAAATATATTATAAGAGATTGTGTTGGTGCATTGACATCAGAGTAAATACAAAAATAGGAGGAGGAGCTCTTTTGAATACTGAAGTGATTTTTGGATCCTCGTGTTGCTATGGAGATCTGTATTCTTGGCCTTGTTTAAGTGTCGCACCACACACACACACACACACACACACACACACACACACACACACACACACTTCAACTGCAGCACTGCATCTGCTTTTATCTTTGCTGTTATCAGGTGTGAGGTATGCGGGGAGGTGACAGTATGTACTCATGATAGCCCTTCCGGGACAGTAGTTCTCTTGTTGTAGTTGTAGAGGTCATTTGGGATCTGATGCTAAAAGTACTGTATGTATAATAGCACAATATGATGATAAAGCACATTTTTGAAATTCAATAGAGAAACCATTTATAGATTTAAATAAACCCTAGTGGGAATGTCGGTTTTTGGCTGACAAAGTGAATGAAATACCTGACTTCGATGAATGCAATGCACTCGAGTACAGCACATTTTGACTTCTTAGTCATATGGCAGAACTCAATAGTTACTAATGTTCAAACTCCCTGAGATAAACAGACAGGAGTGGTGTGATGCACCTTAAAAAAAACATGACTTTTGGTTTGATTCAGTGTTTTTTTTCTTCTCTGTTTTCCAGAATGGCTTCACTCCGCTGTATATGGCGGCGCAGGAGAACCACATGGACGTGGTGCAGTACTTATTGGACCACGGCTCGAGTCAGAGCATCGCCACTGAGGTACCTAAACAAGCACAAACAGATGATACACAACGCATACACAACAAACATAGCATATCAAACCGTTATCACAACCCTTTATTTAGACTTCCTGTCATTACTCTGCAGTGTTATGTATGACATACTTCTGTAAATGGTGAATACGTGGCTTCAACTAGTGTCTCATTTAGGAGACAAAAGCGGAATAACATGAAGTTGTTGCTTAATTTAAGAGGAGATGATTAGGGTAGAATAGCATGACGAAGTATTCATTCAGAGTGACCTTGACTGTCTCTGGAGGACGGAACCATTGACGTAACTGAAGTCTGATATCTGTGTGTGTGTGTGTGTGTGTGTGTGTGTGTGTGTGTGTGTGTGTGTGTGTGTGTGTGTGTGTGTGTGTGTGTGTGTGTGTGTGTGTGTGTGTGTGTGTGTGTGTGTGTGTGTGTGTGTGTGTGTGTGTGTGTGTGTGTGTGTGTGTGTGTGTGTGTGTGTGTGTGTGTGTGTGTGTGTGTGAGCAAGCAAGTGCTACGCTGTGAGTGTGTCAGTACAATCCATCATCTGCTCTGCTGTAGTAACGGCAGACAGCCAACTGCCACTAAAACACATTTGTGAAGCCAATGCCTATTTTTACAAGTTTTTCTGTATGTTTAAAAAAAAATGTTGATTATAGTGCCAATACCTGCAGATACCATATAGCAAAACTATTTCCGTTTTGCAGGGGTGTAAGAAGTACTCACATCCTTTACTTATTTAAACAAACATCTAAATTATGATTTATGATGATAAATTCCTGCATTTGAAATGTAACTTTGTACAGAAGGGTTATCAGTAAGATGAACTAAAGTCATAATACCTAATCATAAGTAAAAGTAACTCTAAAATAAGCCACATTGGAATATAAATCGGGAACATTTCAAACAATGAATATGGTAAATAGCAAGATAATAATACAAATAAGATAAACAACCTTTTGTAATTATGAAAAACGTGGTGCAATGGACAGATTTGTGTCAAAAAGTGTTGAGGTTTGACCCCAGCATTACACATTTTTGTTGATCCTGACTTGAAGAAGCTATCATACCCTAACCTGTTAATGATTATACAGTATTCTGAAATGGTGCAATTTCAGACCTTCATCTTTTGTTTAACCATAAATACTGTGTTCTTTTTTTGAAAGTCTATAAAACCTTTAAAAGCTAGTCACTGCAGTTTTGAGAAAACATGACTCAAACAGGAGTAAAGTGGTGTTTTTTTCAGCGGCGTAGTTATACACATTTGGTGCTCTAATAAGATTTTGGGTCAGCGGACGGTGTATTTAGGTCTCAAAATAAACCACCATGAGTGTCCCTGTCCTACTCTGCTTTCCTTTCATCTTCCTGTTTCTTCTCCATCCTTCTCCTCCTCCATCATTCCTCCTATTGTCTGCCTCCTTCTCCACACCGCCACATCTCGCCATTTTCCTTCTTTCCTCCTCTGCCCCACAGTCTCCTCCAGCGGGAGACATGGATGAATTATTCATGAGGGCAAACATAAATCCATGTTAGAAGCAACTCACGGTGTTCAATAATTCATATTTAACCGTTTCAGCATAGCACGAGGTAGAGTAGGTCAGGAATCCTTTGTTTATTAAAAATCATCCGTCTGCAATTTATCTTTTTTATTGCAGGTACTTTCGTCCAACAGTACAAAATATGTAAAGATATTCTGCAGTGATATCGACATATTTTATTTATGATTTCATGTTTCTGTAGTATGAAGGTCGCCCTTGCAGATCTATTTGTTATTATTTATTTCTCTTATGATTAATGACTTGTCAAGTAAGATGTACTGAGTGTCCTACTGTCCTGTCTACAGTTTATTTATGTTTTTCAACTCAGTGATCTTTAGCTAATTTAAAAAACAGCAGGTAAAATGTGCTGTGTCATTGCAAGTGTTAGAAGATAAAGATCAAAACCCACTTTCAGCGTTGTTTGTTCACTGTGGTTGCTTTTAAAGTATTTTTAGGACATTAAACTGTCTCAGTGCCTTTCCTGAATCCATAATAAAGCAGATGAAACAGGAGGGCAGTGCAAGGAAGGCTTATGACTTTCTCAAAAAGGCTACATTTATGCATTTTAACATGTCCGCCTGGTGTACTGCGGAGATGCTCTGATTACGACTGTGTGCTAGCACGGGTGTGTTTGTTTTCCTGTGGGTGTGTGTGATCTCTATAAGGAGAGCTTCTGCTTTGATGTGTGGGTGTAGTGATGCGGAGTTGGCTTTATCCAGACAGTCGGCGTCCTGTGTAAACACACACACATGCCCGTCCTCATACACACACATACAAACACAAGTGTTGTTTTTATGTATGAGAAATATTTCCTTTGCTTTGATGATTCATGCTCTCTGTGTCTCTCATTTGTTATGCTGCCTGTGTGAATGGATATGTTTGCAGTAGGATGCAGTTGGCGTCGTCTTGTTTTCTTCTCAGTTTGTGCCCATTAGCAGCTGCATTTCCTTTCGATTTGTCCTTGAGCGAGACACTGAATTCCTACTGAAGCACTTAAACTCTCTTTAGAGCATGAGCTGAAATGCTTATATTGACAAATGGTTATTAGAATGCCATTTTGCTTGTTAAAGCCCTTTCACACAGGTCCACCTTCATGCTAATCTAATAACAGTTTAACAAGTTTCAATGGTCACTTTTACATTAAAGTCACTGCGATAGATCTTAAAATGTTATATATAATTATACTATTTTGGAATAAGTTATCTGAACTGATTAACCTAAAGAATGCATTAGCTTAAGGTGAAACATGCAGAGGGAGAATTGTGTGTTATTCTTTTATTCTAAAACCACTGTAATAGATGTTAAAGGTCCCATGTCATGGCCATTTCTACTGATCATAATTCCATTGTTGAGGTCTACTAGAATAGATTTATATTGTGCAATTTTCCAAACTCACATTGGTTTCTCATACAGCATCTCTGTATAGTATGTGTATTCACTCTCTGTCCTAAACGGCTTGTTGGAGCTCCTGCCCCCCCCTCCCTGTGAGCCCAGTGTGCTCTGATTGGTCAGCTCGCCCACTCTGTTCTGATGAGTCCACCACCGTTACAGCGGAACATCAGTGATTATGTGTTACAATGGCGTTTGTTAGCAACCAGAAAATGACACCAGTAATGACAAACAGATGAGAATGCTGCGTGGGGTCTGGGTGCCGTGTTGGTGGGACGTTGCGAGGCTCGCTGCTGCGAGGAGCGGACAGTGTGAGCTGGCTTACTGGTGTGGTTTCCTGGTTGCTGCGTGGGGTCAGCGATACACAGCAAAACCCAGCCCGAAACCAGCCCGAGCACACACACACACCCGCAGCCTGGCTGTGAGTCTGTGTGTGTGTTCAGACACAGATTCACAGCCTCGCCGCGTCCCGCCGTCTCAGGCTGAGAAATCCGCGTAACGTAACGGCTCCGCGGACGCAACGTAACGGCTCCGCGGATTGGTCCATTTGGGTATGGTTACGTCACCATACCCAGGAAGAAAAAAATGGAAAATGAAAAATCTCCAACGAGGCGTTCTAGGGCAGCACAGACAGGTCTTTTCTGTGTTAGAGTTTTACTCGCTACAGGGTGTACTTTGAGGGTTTGTGACTCTGCAGACCGTTTACATGCAGAAAAAGCTACATAACACACAAGGGGACGGGTCATAACCGGAAAAGCATGTCAAGAGACCTTTAACACTAGAACCGCCAGAGATTTTTTATACCTAAAACCGCCACCTGGGTCAAATTGACCCGCTATTAGAATGCATTGATTTTCAAGGTAAAATGTTCTTTTATTGAACAGTGAGTTTTGATCGCACAGGGATGAAACGTATACCAATATAATCTGTGGACTCTCAGGGCTCGACATTATAAATGGCCCGCTGGGCCGGAAGCATTATTTAGACACCGCGGCCAGCATAACGTACTTTCAACTCGCCCCACAGCTGTTTGCTGCGGAGCACAGCGCGAGCAGTCTCCCGTGAGCGGGAGCGCACTCCTTACACTCACTACAGACTGTCTCTATCTCTCTCTCTCTCTCTCTCTCTCTCTATATAACTATCTATAAATATATCTATCCATCTATCTCTCTCTCTCTCAATCTATCTCTCAATCTATAAGGAACCGCAGTAGACAAAAGGCGTTGCTATAGCAACACGTCATGTTTATATGAAAAGGGGTGGGGTCAATATGACCCGCTTGGCGGAAATAGGTATAAATGGCAATTTTTTGGGCGATTTCTTCAATCTGACTTCATATTGACCATTTTTAACAACATAGGGTGCTACATAACACACTTTCAGGAAAAGTCACGGACTGGAAGACTTTAATATTTTATTGAAAAAAAGTTACACACAATAAAAAACAGCTCTGGGTCAAATTTACCCGATTGGCGGTTCTAGTGTTAAATCTTTGTCTACGAAAAACAGTTCGAAAAAAGTCCATTTTAACTTCCACTAATTTACTGCTTGAGCACTTACGGACATTAAAATGTGCTCTCTAATATCTTTAAATGAGGAAACTGATGACAGTGATGGTCATGAGGGTCATAAATAAAGGCAGGTTATACATTCTAAAGCCTTGGAGAGATCACAAAATGGTGATCTTCATCTCTTTAATGTATTTGTTAAATCCTTGAACAAAATGTAATGTGACAGTATATTCTTTGCTTTTTAGATATTAAGTGAAGATTAAAAAAGTTGCTCATACATTCATAAATGGAGAGTTGTTTGTTTGCAGGACAAATGTAATATATTATTGTTGGTTTATTTTGTTTTACCAACTTGTCACAATTTGTTTTTGGAATGTTGGAAACACAACCTAACTTGCTTTCTTCAGTTTGGCTGCTGCTAACTGTTAGCAGCTAACATGAAGTACTTACATGTTGCTCTTGTATTTGGTTCACAGGATGGGTTCACTCCTCTGGCAGTGGCGTTGCAGCAAGGCCACGAGCAGGTGGTTTCCCTGCTGCTGGAGAACGACACTAAAGGGAAAGTTCGCCTCCCCGCGCTACACATCGCTGCACGGAAGGACGACACCAAGGCCGCCGCGCTCCTCCTCCAGAACGACCACAACGCTGACGTCGAGTCCAAGGTACGCTCTCCGCACGATATACAGGACCACAAATCATCTACTCTCACAGAGGAAGTGATTGTTTATTATTTTATATTTATTTGATTGTTATATTTTGATTGGATTATTGAAGCAACTGAAGTCTTTCACTGAATCGGCACCTGCAAGTGAGCCACGTGCTGCAGTTTTACTACATTTCTTAAAGAATTTTGGGCAATAAGTGATTTTTGAAATACGACAGAACATGTTCATTAATGAGCTTTAAAGGTGATTGTAGTCAGGTTTTTAACCTTTAGACTGAGCCACGCTAACTGTTTCTCTCTGTTTACAGTCTTTGTGCTAAGCTAAGTTAGCTAACACTCAATATTCACTTAACAACTGAACAAACAACACATTTAATATTAGATATGGCAGTGAATTTACTCATGGCATCATGCGGAATAAAGAAGGAGGAATACTTTTTTTTTTTTTTTTTGTTCTTCTGTTATTAAAATTGAATCGAATGTGATTTTTTGTTGGTTCCAATAATGACAGCATTTAAGTCCTGAACATGTTTTCTCCGGAAAAAAGTATTTAAATCTGTAACAATATACAGTAACTAAACTATAAAGAACAGTACAGTATTCATTTATATTAGAGGAATACATTTGTGTCACCTACAGACTTTAAAGGTCCCATGTCATGGCCATTTCTACTGATCATAATTCCATTGTTGAGGTCTACTAGAATAGATTTATATTGTGCAATTTTCCAAACTCACATTGGTTTCTCATACAGCATCTCTGTATAGTATGTGTATTCACTCTCTGTCCTAAACGGCTTGTTGGAGCTCCTGCCCCCCCCTCCCTATGAGCCCACTGTGCTCTGATTGGTCAGCTCGCCCACTCTGTTCTGATGAGTCCACCACCGTTACAGCTGAACATCAGTGTTTATGTGTTACAATGGCGTTTGTTAGCAACCAGAAAATGACACCAGTAATGACAAACAGATGAGAATGCTGCGTGGGGTCTGGGTGCCGTGTTGGTGGGACGTTGCGCGGCTCGCTGCTGCGAGGAGCGGACAGTGTGAGCTGGGTTCATTTCCTGCTTGCTGCGCGGGAAGGGGGGGGTGCTGAGGGGGCTGCAGCACCCCCATCTGCGAGGCTCCACTAGCAACCGCATAAAAACCTTCATAACACACAAGGGGACGGGTAATAACCGGAAAAGCATGACATGGGACCTTTAAGGGAGAGTCTCAGTCCATCATCCAGTTGTGTGTACCTCGGTTTGGTTGCCCTTTAGTCCTTTTCATCACTCCCAACATTTTCTCATGTATCCATCCTATGCTTGGTGAAGCCGTGGTGTTGGTGTTGTAGTTGTTGTGGTGCACTAACCACCCCATTCTCTCCTCCTCCTCCTATTCGTTTCCTATTGTTACCCTACCGCTGCCCTTCTAGATGATGGTGAATAGAACAACAGAGGTACATCGTCTCTTGTCTTCTTCTCTCCTTCCTCTCCTTTCAGTGTTCACTCATGGTCACCATTGCAAAGCCAAAGCCTTCTGTCTGCTGGCATGCACCGTAAATGCTGGCATGAAGCTTTCGCTGCTGACAATGTCTCACCTGCTTTTTTTAAATCTGCATCGCATTTTTGACTTTGCTCTATGTGCATCCAGTGGCTTGCAGCTTTTTAGCAGAGTTTTAATAAATGCCAGTAGAGATAGCTTTATATATACTGTATATATATACATAGAGCTTTTGGAAACATTTCACTTATGAGCCGATCAAGCCGAATTTGATCAATACAACAGCAGTCCTGTTGGGGTTCTGCACTTTGATGTACTTGTTTACATTTTTAACATGAGATACTGTTTTCTCTTCCTTTATTTCAGGAAAATCAGTTTTCATTGACACAAAAGAGATAAGGAATTAAATCTCTAATGAAAACAAAGAACTGGTTCTTAATGTATGGTATGCTTACGGTAGTTATTCTTGTCTAATGCAAAAAAGCCTCATTTCCATTTAAATCAATTGAAGCATTGAATCAGAAAACATTTTTTGTGAATGTCTTTTTTAACATGAAAAAGGCAGCAGTGAACACTTTGCTGCAATTGTTGTTCACAGACATGCTAAGGGTATGAAGGCCTAAATATGAAGGTTTAGGCCTGCTGCTCAGACTTTAGGGAATGGTTTGATATTTTGGGAAATGCTCTTTATTTGCTATTTTGCAGAGTAAGATGAGAAGATTGACATCACTCTTATATCTGTGTGGTAAATGAGAAGCTAAAGGCAGCAGCTTAGCCTAGCATTAAAACTTGAACATTATATATCATTTGTTTGATCCATAACAAATGTAATTGGAAAATAGATTTCCTGGGAGTCTCCCCCTAGCTGTAACCAGACTTAATCCTAAGCTAACTGGCTGCTGGCTTTAGCTTCATATCTTCCATACAGACATGGGAATGATATTGATATTTCTGTCCAACTCATGCATTTACAAGAATAAGAGTATTTGCCTGATATAAAACTGTTGTTTTTATGTCTTAATAGAATAACTAGCATATTGCAATATTGAATTTTCAATGATGAAAAAGTAATTTTTCGTCTGTGGTCTGGCCAGAAAATGATTTGCATGTGTTGCTGCTGATTGCCAGATCATTAAACCATCACTCTCTAGGTTTTTATCCTCTTTACCGTAAATGGCTAATTCCATGTGTTTAGCAGTTATAATTACATTTGTCACAGAGTTGATGTTTTTGTTCTTTCCCCCGTTACCTTTTTCCACCCACAGAAGAACCTTTCTGTAATGTGATCCTACTCCAGTTACAATTACACATCTATTAAGTGCTTTTGCTCTCACACTGCTTAAGACATTGTATAGACTGTAAATTGCTTTTGTCTGAATTAAGTTCAATTAAATGTCAGTGCTTTATCCCATCGAAGGCTCTCATTTAGCTGCCAATGAGAGGACAAACTGTAGGGCTGAAGTAAAAGCAATGGGTTCAGTTGAACTGGAGCATGCCAGTAGATTTAATTAAATTGCATTTTTTTTTACAAATGTGACATTATGCTGACTGTCCTTTGAAAAAAATGCTTAACTGTCACTGTGCCCAGAAAGCAGTTTAGTCAGCTTTCTATAAAGTAGCTTCTTGGTTTAATTTTTGTAATAGCATGTTGACCTGTCCTATTTGTTGCTTTGGAAATGGAAGTGATTTATTAAGTCTGAAAAAGATCTGAACAAATGAATGATTTTGGATGATTATTTTGAACTATTTACATGAATTAAGCTGGTTTATGACTAATTTAAAGGTTTCTTTAGGTCAAGCCTTCCAACAAATACTTCCTTCAAAGCATCCTTTTTAGAACAACATACTTCCTATTCAATTAATATTGTCTTTGATTAATGCAGAAGCACGATTAACTGCATGTCAAGATTTGCAAGATTTTTTTAAGGAATCGAGACAAATCCTAAATAGAGACTTTTATAATTGCCTTTGCATGTTTTTAATTTGACAGGAGCTCAATGTGCTATGTTTGAATATAATTGTGATTCTATCCACTACACACCTGACCTATGTCGCTGCAACTATCACTCAAGAAAAGTAGAAAAGTATTTCTAATAAGATGTGAATCCACGACTCAGAGCATGTTTGACTTCTGCTCAACCTTCGTCTGCTCTATTAGCCTGCTTTTGGCCAAGCTGCTATTTAATATCCCATTATGCTTTGCTCGCAGCTCATTGAGAGAGTTATTTTTGTATTCCTTTATTCTCTCTTTTAATTTAATGTGTCTATCTTTCTGTCTCTCGTCCCCCTCAGAGCGGTTTCACTCCACTCCATATTGCGGCTCACTACGGCAATATCAACGTAGCAACACTCCTGATGAACAGAGGGGCAGCTGTGGACTTCAAGGCAAGGGTAGGTACTTTGCTTCAAAGAAGGCAAACACACACACATATTCACACACCTTTTGAAGTCAGGGCTTCTGCAAACACTCACTGTACGACTCTCATATGAGAGGGCGGGACGATGTGTGTGCAGGAATCTAACACGTACACACGTAATCCTGCAGCTGTGCCTGTCACTCTGCTGGAGAACATATACGAGATGTCAGTGTGCTATAGGATCCTACAGACAGGAGCAAAAGATGCTGGGTTTATGGCTGAGACTGAGTATGTCCCAAATAAGCAGGGGTAGAAGAAGATGTTTAACTTATTTAGAATTAACTACTTAATACTTAGTCCTCATTGTTGATGTTATTTAAGTGAATGTACTGATTATAAAGTTTAGAATAAAAGACAGCCCTGTCCTTTTAGATTGACTCCTGACTGATTTTGGAACAGACTGTTCAACATAGAAGCAAGATGCACCACAGATTTAAATGTGTCTGTAAATCCTTTGGGGTTGTTGTGTGTCTCTTTGAAGTTGTAATGCCTCTCTTTGAGGTTTGTGTCTCTTTGTTGTTATCTTTGTGTCTCTTTACAGTTGTTTTGTGTCTCTATGTAGTAATTTTTGCGTATCTTTTTGATCATTTTTTGCCCTTTTTCAGTCTTGTTTGTGTCTACTTGCAGATTTCTTTTTGTAGCCTTTTTGTATTAGTTTTATGTTAACATACTATAGCCAAGGTTAACTCCTGACACTTTGGATGCCAGTTCCTGTTACCTGTTGGCTTGTAGCCTTTTTCAGAAATCCATCCATGCATTTATTGTAGAAAATGTCAAATCATTTAGGTTATTTTATATTTTTGTGACCTTATTTAAAAGACATTCTTGCAAACATCACTGTGTATCAGTCTGTTTTCAAACAAATATGAGGATACAATTGTACCACGTACAATAATACAGTGCAGAGTGTCTTATTGAAACCTCCCCCTCCTCTTTAGCCCTATAGAAAAAACTAGAACGTTAAAACCACTTTGAGGCTGAAGCTGCTTGACTGGTAATGTTCCCCTAGAGGGGGATATTTATCTAGTTTCCTCCTACACTGGCCGTTTCTCAATGTTGAGTAAAGCTGCTCCAGAGCCACTATTTCAAGCATACTACGTCATCGAGTGGCGCCGAATCACTGTTTAAATGCCCAGCATACATGTGCTACCAAGCAATCCTCCTCGACATTGAGAAACGGCCACTGTCACATAGAGCCCTTTTTTTGTCGAGTAGGCACATTTTAGACAAGGGAGATGTATTAAAATGCTGGAGACACGGACAGGCTGTCTGGAATGTGTTGGAAGGTTTCATTTTCAGTTAAAATGTATTTGGAAGCCCATTGAATGCACAATGTCATTATTCATTTTTAAGTTACTTGACATTATGTGAGCAAAAACAAAGTTAGGACATTTAGTGTAGTGTTACTATTATGTTATTTACCCTTTCTCTTAAAACAAATATGACTTGAAATGGGTGATACATTTCTGTGTCTTCTTGTCTTTGTGGCTGAATAAGGAAATTATGCTTTTTTCTTTCTCAGAATGACATAACACCACTGCACGTAGCATCCAAACGTGGGAACGGCAACATGGTGCGACTGCTGCTGGAGAGAGGGTCCAAGATAGATGCACGAACCAAGGTAAAAACGCATCAAAAATCTACATTTTTTTACTGATGTAAATATTTGTTAGATCTCCATCAATTCAGCAATACACTTCTATAAACTTAGCAACCAGCAAAAGACAGATACAATAAAAAACATTTCAACTTAAAAGCCCCTTACGTCTTAATCAATTCACATCTTTGAACAAAAAAAAAAGTATTTCAAGGGCCCGAGCTTTGTCCATTTATCCTCCAATACAATAGTACTCATACAGTACAGTATTATATCATCATCTACACCAAGTCAAACGGTGGGTCCCCCTTTTGTTTTGATAAGGGATTCTACCAACCAATAGACCACCATATCATTCTTCAAATTCAATATCACCCAAAAACCTCCTACAGTGGTTTGGAAGTGACCTGCAGTGCATTAGCCCATGCATTGAAGGCTTTATTGCATTGCTTAGGGAAACTGTTAATAATAGTATGAAGTTAACTGTGATTCGGCGCCACTCAATGACGATGACGATCGTTTTCTCATACTGATATTCTGTACAAACTGTGCTGTTGTATTTGTTGTAAAAGTGTCTTTATTGTAGGGTATTTTTATTGTATGTACAGCACTTTAGCTCGACCAAAGATCGTTTTAAAAATGTGCTATATAAATAAAACTTGATTTGATTGAACTGTGCCTGTGCTGTTTGTTTCTCCCAGGACGGTCTGACTCCTCTCCACTGTGGAGCCAGGAGTGGCCATGAGCAGGTGGTGGAGATGCTGCTGGACAGAGGAGCTCCAATACTATCCAAGACAAAGGTACACCTCCAACCTTTGTGTGTCTCTTTATTTCTCACCTGTTTTTATGACTACTTACTGTTTCAATTTCACTCTGGCTCATCTACTCTGACAAACCCTCTTACACAGTGACGTATTACTAAATGGTGAAGAAATTACGAAAGAACTAGTGCAAATGCTGACACCACTCTATTCTGTTGTAGTTCGTTGAGGTGGAGCCGTTTTCTAAGAATTAACTAATGATTATTTCCATGGATTCACCTGCATCTTATTACCATTATTATTCAATCTAAGGTTTGGTTTGGAGAAATTCTGAAATTAGTAAAAACTACAATCATAAATTCTCAGAGATCATATTGACACCATCAAAATGCTTTATCCAACCCGTAGTACAATATTCCCAATGCTTAGTAATACAAGGAAAAATGCTTTGGTTACACATTTGTGAAGCCAGAACCATGATGTGTTTTTGCATGAAAAAGTATTAATATCAATAATAATAAATAGTTGTTGATTGGTGGTCTATTAATGATACATATAATTTGTACTTGATTAACTGTACTAAATGTCATTCCACAACTGATGTCAACTACAGCTTTATTAACTGGTGACCCTATTCCCTACAGAACGGTTTGTCTCCGCTCCACATGGCGACCCAGGGCGACCACCTGAACTGCGTCCAGCTGCTGCTGCACCACGAGGTGCCTGTGGATGACGTGACCAACGACTATCTGACAGCGCTGCACGTGGCAGCACACTGCGGACACTACAAGGTGGCAAAGGTGATCGTGGACAAGAAGGCCAACCCCAACGCCAAGGCTCTGGTGAGGATAAAATGATTTAAGACCGGAGACAGTTGACGCTCTCGAGCTTTTTCATCTCAACAATAGTTAATTATCAAGTCTGGATTTGTTTGGGGGAACAGAACGTTTCAGGAAAATAGACAGAAACAGAGAAGGGGTTAAGATGGTGAGATGATAGACAGATCTTGCCCCGATTTCTCAAAAGGGTTACCAACCTATTCAACTGTATGTATCATGTAGATCAGTGGTTCTCAACTGGTGGGTCGCGGACCCGTTTCGAGTGGGTCGCAGATGTGTGAGTGAAGAAAAAGAAATATCATTTTTTCTTTTAAATAAAAATCAAACTTTTATTTTGAAGGCCCGATTTTCTAACACTGTGAATGCAGTAGGCGTTGGACTGGAAGTACCGGAGACCATAAATGGTTTTGAAAAATTCTGTCACGTAGTGATCATCTTCTCAATAAAACATCTTTGCTGATGTTTTTTCGAGTCTTCTGGCCAATCAGAATCACGATTGTTGCTGGAAGTCCCCACGGAGAATAACTTTGCGGTAGAACTACTCCATGGGTACAACTTCAGATAAAAATGAACACATAATGAAATATAACCCCCGGTTTGATGATTGACAGGTCACAGAACAATGGGGGCTATCTACCCTTTCCCACAATTTAAAGTAATTCACACAGACTATCTCCTCTTTACTCTTCTCTCTGTGAGGAGCAGCAAGTTCAGCTGTCAGAACTAAGTGAAAAACAAACAATGGCATAAAATATTATTAATATGTCTGGTAGTAATAGAGTTATTTATTTTCTTCTCAGAGTGTACCAGAATGCGTAGTTTATATGTTAGTATTTCCAAACATCTCCTGGGGGAGAATCCCCCCAGATCCCCCATCTGGGGTTGGGTTTTCAGCACGTGTGCCTTTTTATGTGATACAGTTCAGCTTTGATTCCATCATCTCATTAAACCTTTTTTAAAAGCATACTTTAGTTCTATGAAGGGATATATGCACTGTACTTCACTTTCATGAATATTGTATGCTGAAAAGCGTATATATTACAGCACGATTTGTTGTTGAATAGATTTGAGTGGTTCAACATTTCGGGTCGCGATTTATTGACAAAGGAAAAAGTGAGTCCCAAGGCCTGACCAGTTGAGAACCACTGATGTAGATGATGTCACTGTGAGGTAGCCATTGGTTTGTGGACTACCTTTCAAAGTCTTGAGTTTTTCATTCTGACTGTCACCATCTTGGTTATTGGCCATTGCCATCTAGCAAACAGAAGTATCATGACAGACTGGAGCTACAGTCGAATACACCAAATAAACTTCCAATGGGTTGAAGTTCTAAGACTAAAAGAGACCCAAACTGTAAAACGCTATATTGGTGACACTTCAACAACAAGGTACATCAAACCATACCCTGCTTTATTTTCTATTTGCTCTAAATGGGAATATAATTCACAGAAGGTTCTTTATGCTTATCAAAGTATAAAATAGATGGATTAAAGCAGCAGTGTTGCTCCAGGTTGTGGTAGTGGCAGCCATTTAGTGGCTCGAGGATTTAATCTCCCAACCGACCAAAATTATCCTCCCTCATTTTTAACCCTTTCATTTCCTCTCTCCCTCCTTTCTTTCCTTTCTTCCTCACCTCCCCCATTATCTCAACTATTTGTCTGTTTATAACAAAAAGAGAGTAATAAGAGACTTTAATGGAGAAGAAAAGACACGTGAAGGAAATGAATGAAGGAAGTAAACAAGTTAAACAAGACTAAAAAGACACTTATACTCTGTTGGTGTAAGACAACCATCTCTGTTCTGTCATGGGAGAAGTCTGGGTGTGGTTAGAGCACTGGGACTTTATAGTTAGAGAGAATGAGATGGAAAAAAAGGACACAGAGGAAAATGAAGTCATAGGATTGAGCCAGAAACCTCAAAGTGAAGCGAGGGGGAGGGAGGGAGGGGGCAGAGTGTACAACGTTGGCAAGAGAGGAGTAAGTTGTACAGAAACGTATCTATTTCAGTGCAGCATACTTTTTCTTTTTTTACAGCTTAAAATCCAGTTAATTATTTCCACATATGCTTGTGTAGTTTATATGCAGACAAGTGAAGAAGAAGAAAAAAGGGAAAGAAAGAGGAGGAACAAGCAAAGAAAGTCCCGCTTTGTACTGTATTTTCCACTCGGTGTTCCACACTTATCTTCCACCAGCTCAGCAAAACCTGCATGGGAACCCACACAAACTGTTTTTGGACTAGTTTTAAACTTAAAATGTTTATATTTGTTATTAAATTCCTGTGTTTTTTAGAATGGTTTCACCCCCCTGCACATTGCCTGTAAGAAAAACAGAGTCAAGGTGATGGAGCTACTTCTGAAGCATGGAGCGTCGATACAGGCAGTCACTGAGGTACGTGTTTGTGTGTGTGTGTGTGTGTGAGTGTGTGTGTAGAATGTCATTGAAACACAATGACATCAGTGTTTTTTTTTGTAATCTGTTTTTAGTTATAGAATCATATTAAGTACATTTGTCTCCACAGTGGTGTAACGTAACCAAGTATACTTACTGCATTTAAGTACATCATACTAAATACTATGTAGATTATACTCAAACACATTACTACTCTATACTCTGAAACTGTATCTTCTATTTAACATTTCTGCTTGATTTTTGAACAGCAAACTTCTGTTGTTATTTTCATTCATTTCTCCCTTGCTCTGTGTGTTTGTTCACTCTACAGTCCGGTCTGACTCCAATCCATGTTGCAGCGTTTATGGGACACGACAACATCGTGCACCAGCTGATCAACCACGGGGCTTCACCAAACACAAGCAATGTGGTAAGTTCTTCCTTCTTCTTTTATCCTTCTTTGTCCTCCCAATTGCCATATGTACAGTTTCTCTTCTATGATAGGCAGTGGTTTAAAGGAGCTATATTTACTACGGAGCCTCATAAATCATTTCAGCTCATTGTGTATCTATCAGACTTTTCTGTTCGGGTTCAGATTGTAGGTTCACGGTTGTTTTCATCACGATTTACCTAAAAGCTCAACAGCAGTTACAGGCTAACTGGTGAACATAGTAGAGCATTTAGCTGCAAATGAGTGGGTGGAGACCAAACATAGAGCTAAAATAGAGTGAGAACATTTCCTACATTTGTCAAGTGGCCACAATCACTGCTTCAAATGACTGATGATAACTTTTGACACTCAAAAAGGGATGATATGCGTACGTAAGAACTGAAATCAAAAGTTAAAACAATATATTGCATTGTTCCCCTGGATCCTTGAAATTCTACAATGTTTGGTAATTTGAGGCCTGGAAAGTGATTTAATTTATATATTTTGTGCGACAATAGAGATTGCTCATTCCTGGAAGTGCAATTAAACCTTTATAAATGTATACAATACTTCAACAAGCATTAACAACAGAAAAGCAATATTTCAATATGCTCTTTTCTCATCCACTGCTGCTGTGTTTTACAGTCTGTGTTTTACAGTCTGTATGAAATCAACAAATCTGTATGAAGTCTAACTGTTTATCGTGTCCCAATCTATGCCATGTTGCATCCTTGAACTTAAGGGAATTGTACCTGGAAAGTCCTTGGCTTGGGATCCCTGATAATGAAACATAGAAAGCACAGTCATTGGAACAGACACCGGAGAAAAGCTGTGTACTTCAGGAGGGAGGAGAGGAAGTCTATTAATGCCATGTGTACTGTATGTAACCAGAGGACATCTCATTCTCATCTACTCTATAAACACTTTTTGATGTGAGCTGGAAACTCTAACTACTGACCCTGTTGACTAATTGAAAGAACAAAAGAGAGACCGAAGAGAAGGAGATAGGTAGAGGAAGAGTTGAAAGAGACAAAGTGGGTAATGAGCAAACAGAGAGGGGAAAGAGTTCTGCACGCTCAACTCTTCAACCCCAAGAATTTGGTCGCCCACGCCGTGTCTGTGGCCAGGTTACCGTAGAAACGGAGCATTATGGGACGTCATTATGGAGGGTTGGGTGTGGAGAGGAAGGGGGCTCTCTCTCTCCCTCTTTCTGCCTCCCATCTTAACATAAGGAGAGTTTTTATGGATTCGAATATTCAAACTTGGGAATAACTATCATTTCCTTTTTTTCTTGTGTGTGTTGCAGAGGGGGGAGACAGCGCTCCACATGGCAGCGAGGGCCGGACAGTCTAATGTGGTCAAATATCTGATCCAGAATGGAGCACGGGTCGATGCCAAGGCCAAGGTAGTACTCATGTGACTTCAGAAAACAAATGTTCCTTTTAAACAAAATGTAGTTTTGATGAGCTTTACTAACCGTTTCCATACTTTAGTCTTCCGCTCCTCTGCGTTTTAGAGGCACATTGTAGTTTTTCCTTTATTTGACCTTTTATGTTACTAAATATTATAGGCTAGAGACCTTCTTTTTTAATAAAGGGCTGGTTTCAGGCTGCCCTTAAACGACCTCCTGGGTCCTACATTTTATGGTACTTTGTTATTATATTTCATTTTATTTGACTCAATTCATTTGTATTTTACATTCTATCCTGTAATGTTATTATATTCCTGTATTCATTTTATCTTTTTAATTAGTCATTCTCGTTTGTTGATCTGTAAAGCCAACTAACACATTGTGTTTGTTGTCACCAGGACGACCAGACACCGCTGCACATCTCAAGCCGTCTTGGTAAGCCAGACATCGTCCACCAGCTGCTGACAAACGGAGCTTTCCCAGATGCCACCACAAGCTCCGGATACACTCCTTTACACCTGGCTGCCAGGGAGGGACACAGAGATATCGCTACAGCGCTGCTGGACCAAGGAGCCAGTCTGGGAATCATTACCAAGGTAAGTCTGATTTGTGGGGATGCATACGTCTTGGATATTGGTTATTTTGATAGGTTGATAAGAAGTTACATGACCAAGTTACATTGATTTGCTCAAAGAAGTAGACCAAGAGGATTACTGTTACCTCTACTCACATACTGTACAAGGACACACTGACAAGACACATGCTGGTCCAAAAAAATACTTGGATTGAAGACCATAGGTTTTAGTTGACTTTCTGCCACTAAGTGAGTGTCAAAGTAACTTTTCCAGAGCTTAAAAAGCCTTTGTGCATCATTCATTTCCTTACATCCATTTAAACCGCAACAGAGCACATGATGGCCACAGTTTTGACTTTTTTGATCACAACTGCAGGTTTGTGATGGTCAAAGTTTCTTAAGAGTACAATATGTACGTTTTCTGCATTAAAGTTTCTTCTATGACTAGACACACATATTTTACAATTTGTTACGGTTGTAAACTGACACTGAAATTTGAAACGTTTCCAACAATTTATAAATCTAGATAAATCTTTGATTCTTTTGGTCACCTTTAATGGTGATGTATGTATTGTGCATGACTCTGATTGGTTGTCTGTATCGTTGTCCAGTTTTAAGACACTTTTACATCATCAGAAATCTGGATGTTAAGCTATCAGAAAAACTAATAAAAAAAACACTCAAAATAGAAAAAAATAAATAACTGAAAAGTAAAATAAATACATGTTGACAGTGAAAGATAAAATCTGTAGACTAACAAATAAACACAATGAAGGGCATTAAATGGGAGAAGCGGAGCCGGAATGCAAATGGGGAGAACAACGGCCCAAGCTACTTTATCACTGCTTCTTATGATACAAACACCCCTAGTGGCAGAAATGTAATATTATGATATTCAGGGTCTTTAAACTAGGAAGCCTGGATTCTGTCAAGTCCCATTAACGATTTGTCACCTCGTTCAACATGCCCATGTGCACACTCACACAGAGCCAGTTCTATCTGGACAGAGTGTGTTCATGGATCCGCATTGCCTCATGGCCCAGGAATCTGATGTAACACTCGTTTCCACACCCTGGGCCCTTATTCAGTTGCATAATTTTCAAGCACCAAATAATCAGTTCCTCATGTAATGTCATGACATAACCTTGCAAATGACTAAATTATAAGTAATCAAACCCATATGGCTCAGTGGCTATTAACTGAAGTGTTTTAACAACAATTGTAAAAATTGGATCAGAGTTTGTGATACATTTGGTTTAACATTCTTGTCATGTCGTTGTGTCTCTGCAGAAGGGCTTCACTCCGTTGCATGTGGCTGCAAAGTATGGCAAGATCGAAGTCGCCAACCTGCTGCTGCAGAAAAACGCTCCGGCTGATGCTGCTGGGAAGGTAACGCATTTTGAAGCACTGGTATGAGAGAGAATGATGCTTTAAGAGCACAAAAAGAGCTCCCACATAAAAAAAACCCTACAGTAAATATGTTTTATAATATTATGCAACTCACATGTGTATAAATTAGCTGCCTTCATGTTTGTTTTGTAGCTCCACTCAAAGCTTTCACATTTTTCTCCTCATCACACAATATTGTATGTTTATCACGTTCTAACAATCTTTGTGTGTGTACGCTCAGAGTGGACTAACTCCACTGCATGTGGCAGCACACTATGATAACCAGAAGGTGGCGCTGCTCTTGCTCAACCAGGGAGCTTCACCGCACGCCGCTGCAAAGGTAAGAGCCAGTCAAAGTGCGCCACATCGAATGTTCATTAATGCATTGATGCACCAAAACCTCTCTCTCACTCTCTTTGGCTCTGGATGAAAGCAGGCTGACCTAGTTTCAGTCGCCCACATGCAATTACACCATGCACTATAGCTGAGCGTTGTATTGTGATTGGCTGGCTGGAATCCCCTCTTCACTCTAACAGCATCCTTCCAGAGAGGGCTGCCACTGAAATTAGCTAGGCCCCAATCACTTTTACGCACATAGTCAGGGTTCTCAGGCAATCCCTGGACATACAATGACGTTAGTGATTATTTTATTAGACATTATTTATACTTTACTTTAGGTCCTGGACATAGGCTGTAATTATATGTGCTTAAAATATCGTTATACACCACTTAGTAATAAATAGTCTAAGAGGATAAAGCCGTCTCTATCAGTTACGGCCCGTCCACACAGCGGCGTGTGTTGAAGCCATAGACGGTTGAAGCTTGCCGGCGGGCGTGTCTGAAACTCGACCAACAACCAATCACATGAATCTCCCGCCCCTGACACACAAGCAGCGGTTTGATTGGCTAGAGCTTGTACTGGCATATTATTCGATTGGCTGACGCTTCTGCCGAGACTTCAAAAGTTGAACATTGCTCAACTTTTGCATCGAGCCACGCCAGCAAAGCTCCGCTTCGCTTCCCACAATGCAGTTCGGCGAAAAGTGACGTCACCCCATTCAAAGTGAATGGTGAAGCTTTCAACGCACGCCGCTGTGTGGACGGGCCGTTAAAGTATAACAGCTGCAAAATGTAGACATAAATATAATTAATTTGCAATATATGGCTATATCATGAATTTGATGTTTAATTAGCTGAGTTGAGAAAAAAACATATTTACAGTTGTGAAACAAAAGACTTTGACAGAATCAACCACACTGTCACGTCAGTATGTTAGATATGAAGCTACGGTAAGCAGCATGTTAGCGTAGCTTAGCTTAGCATAAAGACCGAAAACTAGCGCAGTAACTTCTTTGACTTTCTATCAATTTAAGTTTGATTCAGAAGGTTACCGCTCCCCCACAAAAATATAGCCTGTCACATAATTCTCTTTAAAACAGAATCTTAATGTTTTTGCACAGATAAGAAGAAAAAAAGATTGTTTATTTTAGTTAGCTTTAGTGGCGCTGGTAGATGTAATCTGTAAACTTTGAACAGAGCCATGCTGGGTGTTTCTTGTTTCTTGTGCTAAACTAAGCTAAATAGGTCCTTTGGTTGATATTTAATGAACAAATATATGAGTCATATCTATTATATATATATTACATTGTATAACAGGGATGCAAACTTGTCACCTTTCGGTGAAATTCGCCGTTTTGAATCCAAAATATGTCGTTTGTGTGATTCATGTAGATCTGCAATAAAAATATTTTTGGGGTATGGGAGTAATCTGCGGCCGCAAGCTGTTATGTGCCATCATGACACGCATGGTGTTCTTTTTTTATATATTATAATGAAGTGCGAGCTGTGTGCTCGAGTCTTCCTGCCTGTCGGCTCTGCTCATGGATGTATAATAAGGCTCTGCTGCTCCGGGATGAGGGTCTAGCTTAATAGCCACATTACCTACGGTGCGTTCGTTAATATTAACTGTGCGGTCCGGAGTCACTGTGGCACAGACTGGACCGCTGGTGAACAGCTGTTAGAACGGGCCGTTCAGGTGTTCAGAGCAGAGCTCCCTGTCGGAGCGGCAGAGCGTGATGTGCACTGAAAAGTTTTTCTGTCGCAATATTATTTAAGGAATCGTTGAGCTAGCTAACTAGCATACATTGTCACTATCTGCTAACGTTAGCTTTAGCCTTCGTTTTCTAATAGTTTTTTTCATAGGCTATAAACGGAGGTGGTATAAGTATATATCTTGTACTTGAGTAAAAGTAGAAGCACTCAGATCTTGTACTAGAGTAAAAGTAGAAGTACTCAGATCTTGTACTTGAGTAAAAGTAGAAGCACTCAGATCTTGTACTAAGTAAAAGTAGAAGTACTCAGATCTTGTACTTGAATAAAAGTAGAACTACTCAGGTCTTGTACTTGAGTAAAGGTAGAAGTACTCAGATCTTGTACTAGAGTAAAAGTAGAAGTACTCAGATCTTGTACTTGAGTAAAAGTAGAAGTACTCAGATCTTGTACTTGAGTAAAAGTAGAAGTACCAGAGTGTAGGAATACTCTGTTACAGTAAAAGTCCTGCATTCAAAATGTTCCTCAAGTAAAAGTATAAAAGTATTATCATCAAAATATAGTTAAAGTAGCGACAGTAAAAGTATTCATTGTGCAGATTGGTCCATTTCAGAATAATATATATGATATGTTTTATAATGATTGATCATTAAAGTGTTCTCAAAGCTGGTAAAGGTGCAGCTAGTTTGAATGACTTTGTATACTGCAGGGTAGCTTGTGAATTTACTCCAGGTGGAACTAAAGTCTGATTTAACACTTGATTATATTTCACATCATTCATCCACATCTGTAAAGTAACTAAAGGTATTAAATACATGTAGTGGAGTAAAAGTACACCATTTACCTCTGAACTGTAGAGGAGTAAAAGTACACCATTTACCTCTGAACTGTAGAGGAGAAGAAGAATAAGCAAAACATTGAAATACTTAAATAAAGTACAAGTATCTCAAAATTGTACCCAAGTATAGTACTTGAGTTTATGAACTTAGTTACTTTACACCAATGGCTATAAAGATAGAAAGACTAAGCCTTGCACAGAGGCATGAAAATATATTTTCAAAATGCTCAACAGTGCTGCCAAAATTATAAACTGACTGCTACACAATTCAAATAAATGCTTTTATACATTTCTATTAGATGTGACTCTTTGGCGTTTCTGTTATTATTAACTGCTTGAGTTGTTCTGACTTCTAAAATCCTCTGTTATTCCTCATTTTAAAGCCGATATTCCGTGGGGTCGGGGGGCTCGGATCCTTGTCACCTTTTTCATACCTGATGAGTTTGCATCCCTGGTATAATCAGCATCAAATATTTTGTATTTTGTCTAAATTAATTTTTATTATATTTTAGCTATATGTAAGTGAATGATGGCAGTGTAAGAAACAAAGAAAATAACTCTCTTCTCTGTACCCAGAATGGTTACACACCACTCCACATTGCCGCTAAGAAGAATCAGATGGAGATTACCACCACCTTGCTGGAGTACGGTGCCTCCACCAACACAGTGACCCGCCAGGGCATCACTCCTCTGCACCTCGCTTCACAGGAAGGCAACGTGGACATAGTGACGCTGCTGCTGGCCCGAGACGCTCCGATCAATATGGGCAATAAGGTACGAGAAGTTGAACTGAGTACAAAAACATTCATCTGATTAGGTGGACTGTTTTCTTGTGTTTAAATGGCCAGAGCCTGACTCTAAAAGTCTTTATCCGTTTTTCAATCTCTCCGTCTCCCTCTGTCTGCATATTGAGCTCTGTTTATTTGCGCTATCCCTATATTTGATTCATATTTATCCCTCTATCCTCAGTCCGGTCTGACCCCACTCCACCTGGCTGCCCAGGAGGATAAAGTCAACGTTGCTGAGGTGTTAGTCAACCAGGGAGCTACTCTAGACCCTGAGACTAAGGTACGAGTGTCTTGTTGTCTTCATGGTTTAACACTTTTGTCAAGAAAAAACTAAATATTCACTGCTTCTCTAATGTGAGGATTAGATGTTAGTCGCTGTAAATTGAATTTATTTTGGTTTTGGACTGTGGATATTTTGACAGACCCTTGTCAATTGGAAAACACTTCAGTTTTGATATGAAATGTCTCCAAGGCCCTGCAGGGATCAAAGTTATCCATTTCATAAAGTTGAAACACATTTCAAGCAGAGCAACAAGGGACAATTACAACACCAATGATTGGTGTTGCTTTCTTTGCTAATCCCCAAATGATTTTCTCCATCATCAGCTGGGATACACTCCGCTCCATGTGGCCTGTCACTATGGCAACGTAAAGATGGTCAACTTCCTGCTGAAAAATCAGGCGAAGGTCAACGCTAAGACCAAGGTAAACATTCAGTGCACATATTTCTTTTATTTCTTTGTGCATTAGAGATCTTAACACATTTTCAGAAATATTCGATGTGTGTCACTGATAGTGTATGTCAGTGGGTGTAGAGTACATTTAAAAGGGTATTTTGTTGGCAGTGTCAGTGTTCTTTTACTCTAACTGTGTCTGTTTTCTCTCCTTTGCAGAACGGTTACACACCTCTCCATCAGGCTTCACAGCAGGGACACACACACATCATCAACCTGCTGCTTCATCACGGAGCATCGCCCAACGAACTCACAGCTGTTAGTACACACTCACTCAGACAAATATTATAAATAAATAAAAACATTACAAATATCTTGACTTTGTAGATCTGCACTGTATCCAAATACTAACTGAAGAACAAAATACTCATCCCCACACATTGAGTACAATGTAAAACCCTTATGATGTTTAAGGGTTTATTGTACACAAGTACTGAATAGTTTGGATTTTCTATTACCGTTCAAAATCAATAAGTCACCAATTTTCCTTTTTCCTTTTTTGATGTCCAGAATGGGAACAGCGCTCTGTCCATTGCAAGGAGGCTCGGCTACATCTCTGTCGTTGACACGCTCAAAGTAGTCACAGAGGAAACTCTTACCACGCAGGTGTGTATGTGTTTTAACTGCAATGTATAGTTTGGTGAATCTAGCCTACCCTGTAGTGTGTTATATAGGTTTTTGTGCATATAAACGGTCTGCAAAGTTCACACCAGAGGGAGTTTCTCTCCACACACTCCCTCCTTACCTGAAACACCTCCATGGGACTCCTTTGTTTACTTCTACATAGTGACATCACTATGTAACACTCGCACTTCTATTGGCTAGCGCTCCAACATATTGTGCTAGATTGGCTAAGGGGCGAGACATCTCTAAGAGGTTGACCAATCACAACAGAGCCAGCCAGCTAACCAATCAGAGCAGACTGGGCTCTGGTTTCAGACAGAGGGTGAAAATAGGTGCTGCAGCACAGGCAGTATGAGAAAAATAAAGAGCTTTTTGAACATTAAAGCATGTAAACAGGTCACAGTAGAGGCACTAAATACAAATGTCAAACTTATAATAGGGCTCCTTTAACAGAGTGAACTCTCATATAAGGCCGTTATCAAAACGATATTATATTTGAGATGTATTCTTAGTTATTATGTTATGCTCTTTAATTTGCTATTGCTTTGCTGTTACATAATCTTTTTTCTGTGGAAAATACACACTAACTAATTTCCTCCAGGTCAATTTTGTCAGGTTTTTCAAACTTGCGTCATTGACACTCGTGATTTCCTGCAATAGTGTTTGATATTTAAAGCATACCATTGGCAAAGGTGATGCAATTGAAACTAATGAATGAAAGCACTGTTATAAAGAAAAACTGATGCTCCTTTGTGTTTAATATACAAAAAAAGTAATGAAATAGTGCAAGAGACATAATGGTGCATTAAAGCTACTGCTTTAAATGATTGTATGAATTTACACCATATTGTGTTAATTGAACCTCTACACCATACATGTGCATATGAGTAATGACATTCATTTAAGGCTTTTCTGTAATAATTGACTGTTTTGGTGGTTGTGCCTCTGTTCGACAGACTGTTACAGAGAAGCACAAGATGAACGTTCCAGAGACCATGAACGAGGTGCTGGACATGTCCGATGACGATGGTAAGGATTCATTTTTATACCTTTTTGATGTCTGAATCTGTTTTACTTTAAATACATCTAAACAGTTTTTCTCTGTACAACCTGATTTTAGTCGCAAAATCAGGGAGAGACTGCCTACGTCTTTAAAATCTCACATTGAGTCATATTTGGCTTTTGGGCTGGATTTAGTCCCGGTACTGGTTTCCCTACTGTTGTTATGGAAACATTTTGTTGTTGTTGTGGAGTTATTCAATAGAAATATGTTTTATTTTTTCCATCGTTAACATTTTTTATTTTATTTGACATTCTAGCAACAATTATGATTTAAGCCTTTATTTAACCAGCCACTGGACATGAACTTTGTTTTCTATTCTTTCTTTGCCTTTATTTTGTTATAATTTGTCCATATATTTTGGTTCCCTTATTCCTCTAACCCTCTCCTCCATCCCAATCACACAGTCTGTAAAGCCAATGTCCCCGAAATGATCACAGAGGACTATATATCTGATGTGGAAGAAGGTATTATTCATCTTTCTTCATTTTTTTGTTCTTTTAATCTTTACTTCCTTCATACCTCATTTTGCTTGTCAGTCCTTGGTTCTTTCCAATCTTTGGTTGCTCTTTTTTGTGTCAAGATTTACATGTGCTTTATTCAATTGAAGGTAGTCAAATACCATGATATAATTGAGCTTTTTCATCTTATTTATTTACATCAAGGGTAATGTGCATGTGCGCTACACCCGACTGTATTGAGCTGCTGCTTCCCTCTTCCACTCTCTGATGCTGTTTTGTTGTTAAACCCTTCAGTGTTTTAATGCGTCGAAATGCAGGGAATATGCTATTTTCTCCCCGTTGCCATACCAACTGTCTGCATATGGCGTTTTGGAGTGTGTGACAGATTTCTTTTCATGCCGTGGAGTAGACGGCACACACACACACTAGATCCTTTGTCTTCGGAGGGCTTGTCAGCGACGCTTCCATTGTAGTTTCACACATTTAGACCAAAGCAAACACGGTGTCAGCTGCTTGTGTGTGTGTGTGTGTGTGTGTGTGTGCCTGTGTGTGTGTGTGTGTGTGTGTGTGTGTGTGTGTGTGTGTGTGTGTGTGTGTGTGTGTGTGTGTGTGTGTGTGTGTGTGTGTGTGTGTGTGTGTGTGTGGTGTGTGTGTGTGTGTGTGTGTGTGTGTGTGTGTGTGTGTGTGTGTGTGTGTGTTTACTTTGTGTATCTCTTTTCTCTTGGTGTCTAGTGTGGCTGAAAAGCGGCTGAACTTGAACTTTTCACTGACTTTCCCTAATGAGATTGGGGAGAAGAAAAAAACCTATAATTTGATATAGTGAGATTTTCAATCAATAGCTGGTTTCAATGTTGCCCTCGGGTGTTTCTGCTAAAGCATTGATGGTAAAGAATGGTAGGCTTTCAGTCACCTTACGTGGTCACATGTTTCATGCCGTCTGCACATGTCAGTTTTTATGGCATGTAAATGTCAACAGCCTGCAGAAATCACATTTCAGGGCTTCGAGACAACTTCTTCAGTTCCCATTTACAATATATTTTGCAGTTATATGTAACATAGATCTTTATATAGACTGTTCTTTGCAGGATCTCATAAAGTGTAGGCCTGTCCCATGATTTATCGCTATTTCCCAGAATATTTAGTGTGTTTTTCTAGTAAACCACACTTGGAGTAGATGAGTAGAAAGCAGAAAACCAAAAGAAAAGAGATAAAATCGGATGAATTGGATGAGTAATGGAAGACGAGGTACAGAAGGAAAAGGGAAATATAAACAGGCACTCTGTAACTTCATTGGATAAGCATTTTAATGCAGCGTAATGTCTCCGTCAGTAATTTTCCTGCATGCATGAATTAAAAAAGTGTAAAGATATTCCGAAAATAATTCAAACAAATATGGTTCAAGGTTTATTTTTGCTTTATTTGAACAGAGATGGATGTTGGAAATATCTGCATCAGCTATTCCTGTAAGTCAAAAAGAGAGTGGTGTTGCTATAACTAACTCAAATAACCAGTTTGAAGTGGTGCAGCTGAACTAATTTTCATATGTATGTAATGCACACGTTTTGCCCTGAAACCAAATTCTTTGTGCGAGTTGTTGTCGGTTGATTTGCTTAAGCAGAGCGGCCATCTTTCATTTCTGATCTAAAAATATCTATGAAGTGTAACTCTAGGCACACAAACACACACACATACAGAACACACACACCCCAACACACATACTTTCCCAAGCTCACATACCAGCTGAGTAACAGCAATGATTAACATCTCCAATAACACACACACAGTTCTTAATCAGGACAGCCCACACACACACTCTGCAGTCTTTAAGAACTGTTGTGGGCTTTCAAATTAGTTTTTTCCCCAAAGCTGTAAAGTTAATTTATATGTAGTGGAAATCTGAATCATATGAAACTTAACTATTTTTAAGGCAATAACAGATTTGCCACATGTTGGTTTATATTTGATGCCAAGATTTTTACTTATTCCAATAATTGATCGTTTGTGTAATGATATGTTTCCAGGGTTGCTTTCAGGCTAAGATCCAAAATTGGTCAGATGTTTTCTTCTTTGACATTTCATATACTAAATATAACACTTGCAATTAGAAGAAAAATAGAAGAAAGATTGTTAGTAAGAAGGAAACCGACTCATTTGTAAAATGGCAACTGATTAATAGACTGTAACTAAGAACATTTTATATCAATAGAATTGGACTCGAGTCAGACTTAATAAAAGAAATAGTGCTTGAAAGGCAAAAATATTATATATATATATATATAATATATTTGATATAACTCTGGAAACCTTGAGTAATTAAATTGTAGTTGTGTTATAATCCTTGTAAAAAAACAACAACTTTTAACTCATTTTTGGACATAAACAGACTCTCAATTTCCATAAAATAACTTGAGACTTGATTTTTGAGGCCAGGCAGCAAATTAGTGTAGTGACTTTTTAAACTCAAAATTAGAAAGAATATATACATGAAAATCAAATCATTTTTTTAAGGAATATGTTTATATTATGTACATACTGTATGCCCAGTGAAGCGTAGCCCAACAAAGCTTATATATGCAAGTATAGACACATCAACAACTGGCTTAATCCATCTTCATAAACCAATGTATACATACTAATAGACCTATATGCACTGTATATGTCTATGGGTGCAAAGTTCAGTGTATTCTGCATCGTTGTAATGCTACCTTCAGATTGGTTGGTTTAAAAATGTTGGTCGTAACAGCAGTCTGTTTTCAGTTGATTCTCTGAATTTTATTATTTGACCATTTACAAAAAACAGTCAAGCAGTTAGGTCAACCCCTGATGCAAAATCCATGCAGAGTTACTGTCTGAGTTCCTGCAATCACTGCTTCCTCCTGAGGTGACAGAAAAACACAAGTTGTTAGACGTGGTAGTTGGCACACAGAAGCAGCAGCAGGTAGAAAGATGCAGAGATCAGTCAGGATGAAGATATACATGGGAGCATAGAAGGCAAAGTATGTGTACTAGTTAGCCGATAGAGAGATAACCAAGCAGACAGACAGGTAGAGCAAGGAGGTGACGAACAAGATAAACAAAACAAAGCAACAAATAAAAACAGGAGAGCATGTATACTGTACTCTGCATAGGTAGAGAGTCACACATCCACTTACTATTTCTGTCCTGCAGTGAGCTCTAGGTGTCTGTCCCCCTCCACACACACACACACATTTACACACACTGGATAATCCTAGAGCAGGGTGGGTAGGCGGGAGAAAGCCGATCTGTTTGTGTGAGCGCTGGGCTGTGAGACAGAGAGACAGATAGTGTGTGTGTGTGTGAGTGTGTGCAGGACATAGAGCGACAGAAAGTTAAAGGTAGTCCGTGAAAAAAGTTAGTTCAGGGTGCAAATCCTGCAAACTGGACTCCTGGCTGAATGAATTGCTTCAAAGCGGGAGGTGAGTTTTCGGCTGACATGAGAATGGGCTGGAATGTAGCCAGTTGGGGTCTGTTATGGAGAAAGTGCAGGGAGGGGGGAGGGGTGCTGGAGCAGCAGGGGATGAAGGGACAGGAGGGTGAGGCGGGGGTCTCCGGAGCTTTGTGGTTTGTTGGAATGCCTTCCTTTTCTTTCTCTTTTCGTCCCTCCGCCTGTATGCACTTGTTCCCCTCTCCCACTTTTTAACTCCTCCTCTGCTGCCTTCTCTGTTTCTACTGTGCGGTTCATCAGTACTACAGTAACTCTGAGAGGAATACCATGCTGCTCTCTGTTTCCCTGCTCTAACGTATGTTTTAACAACTTTCTTTTATGGCTTGAGTGATTTGTTTGCTGTGATGACATGGACTTCTGTTGTGGGTATTTGTATTAAGAGGAACATTCATTACATAAATGTGTGGTCAGTCACTTTACTCAGACATAGAGATGTCAACCTGCTTTTATTGTTATTCCTAGAGCTGAATGGTTAATTGACTTGCAAAGTAATCGATGGAAAGCAAAATAATCACGAACTATTTTGATAATTGATTAATCACTCACGTATTTTTCTTGGATTGATGTCAGATGTACTGGTTTTTTCACTCAAATAGGGAGATTTCATGCTTTTCTCTTTTTTAAATGATAATAAAGTGACTATATTTTGGTTTTGGACTGACAACACAAGACTTTTAAAGACATCACCACAGACCTTTTGAAACTAGGATGGACCATTTTCTGGCATTTTATAAACCAAATGATTAATTGATATAATAACCGGCGGATTAATTGACATTGAACATTTTCATTAGTTGCAGCCCTAGTTAACTCACTAGAATAACCTGAGAGAAAAAGTTACTGACAGCAGCACGATTTATTGTTTGCAAGCTTTACTGTTAACATTTGTTTGTCATCTGGGGACTGAGACAAAAAGCCTTTAGTGACAGCACAGACTTTTGTTTTGTGTGTTTGTTGGACCGCAGCTGAACTGGAAAACGGCCTCCGGGGCAGAGGCTGCATTGATCTGTCTGTTTTAAAAGAGCTACTCTGTAATGGTCTGTGTGTGGATGGTAAAAACAAAAAACATAGAGAGTAGCCAATAAGTTCCATTTGCACTCACAGAATTTCCCACTCTAGCCAGTGCTAGGCTGCCACAGCTAAATGTTGATAGGTCTAATGAAACAGTTATTGATTTTAGTTTTGAAATGGCAAAGTGTTGGTCCCTCACAAGAAGATTATAGCTACTAAAAAGCCAGAAAATCAACTACGCTTACTTTCTGTAACCTTTCTTCGGCCCTGTGTGTTTTCAACCTGCAGGTGATGATGCAATGACGGGGGACACAGACAAATATCTAGCCCCCCAGGACCTGCGGGAGCTGGGGGACGACTCGCTCCCACAGGAGGGCTACATGGGCTTCAGCGTTGGAGCGCGTTCACAGAGGTAAGACCCACTATGACCTTTCCCACAGTTAATAAACTATATTGTGACTATGTCTATGTTTGCTAATGTACACGTATATCAGTTGCTATGACGTATAATAACAAATGACCCGTTTATTGATGTTTCTGATGTGTATAGGCCCGGTCACAGCATTTTCACAACAAAGCTTATTTAATATAGCTTGCAGGGTTGACATTCGTTGAACTCTGGCACTTTGAACATTTGACCTTTTAGAGTGCATTAGTGATGACCTATTTCTGGTAACCAACCGGGAAGTTAGCATCGCCCTGGTTCCCTTCACAAAAAAAAACAATCGGTTTCCCTTCATTCCCATTTGGTTTGGATTATTGAAGAGAATAAGCTCTGTGGCAAACAAAGGTTAATGATATGTACAAGTTGTGTCCAGCAAGATAATCACCAGACCTATAAACAACACTTTTCAGATTTGTTAAAGGATAAATGCTATCTGAAGAAGTAAATAGCTAAGGCTAGGCTCTAAACTAACTTCACCTAGTTACATGTCCTCAACGTCACCATCACTCAGCTAAAGGTGGATTTGTTTTTGGCGGGATGACATTTAATGTCCTAGACAACAACCGTATTCTCATTCAGCCACTAGTTTGCAAGCTTTAAAACTTCAACGCTCATGAGTAGGGTATTTACTGACTTGAAAAATGACGTATAGAGAACAACAAAATTTGTTTCAGTCATCAAAAACTTCAATACGAGGGAACCCAAAGTGCAAATATGTTGACTCATCTCCATGTTTTAGGACTTATTCCTGCAGTACCCTTTAGCAAAGTATTTTGACAATGGTAGGAATCAAAGATCCAGATAATCCAAAATGAAGGGGAACTATTGTTAGCTGCTACTCTAACAGGAAGTGTCTGGGTTAATAGAAATTGTCTTTTTATTTATTGTAGTGATATGCTAGACATTTTCACCATTTAGTTTATAGTTACTACAGTGTACCAAGGTATAGCAATGCATTTGATAGATACACTCAGCTTAGACGTGCTAAAGACTTTCTTTTCAAAGTGTATTGGACTTGTTTCTAAGTGGTATTGTAGGAGCTCCTTTTTTATTCTCGTATTGTACAGAAGAAGTAAGGCTTTACATTATTCTGACCCCCGGCACACAGACTTTCCTCTCACCAGTGGGAGGTCATAGTTCGCTTTCTGTGGCTGTTGAACTTTCTCGCTCACACAAAACTATTGACGTTTGTTCAACCCCGCTGAAGAGGGAGGGGTTATTGAATATCTGAACAGTGACACACACACGGACACTGAGCCACAGGAAATGAGAAACATGTTCGATTTCATGGCACTTAGCCCCAGGTTACAATAACACACACTATCTAAGTGGGTTGGGATGCGTGTGTGTGAGTGTGTGAATAAGTTTAACTATATTGCTGGTCCGCTGTAGAAATGAGTTCAAATGTCTTCGTGTTCAGTCGATTTAGGAAGTGAATTATCTATAAAATCCCTCTTAGCTGAAAGAAAAACATCATGTATGTTTTTAGTTGGCCACAGTTTTGTCAGTGAAAGCCATGAAACATTTTTTATGCATTATCCTTTTGGACATCACCTAAAGCAAAACAGGCACACCCAATAAAGTGTGGAAGTAACTGCATGTTCCAGATGTCTTTTGTCCCACCATTTTAAAGTTTTATTTTGAGTCTTATGTCCAATAGACTTCAACACTTGGTGAACAATGTGAATTAAAATACTTACTTGATTAGCTTTAAGTCATAGTTTGTCTTTAAATAAATAGGTTTTTTACTTAACTTAAGTAACATAAGTCAGTTAAGTACGTTGTGTATGTGACCTAGGTTAGTTAAAGTTTGTTAACTAATACCGGCAAGTTCAGGATTTCACAATAACAGAAATTAGTAGTCAAAACCAATGCCAGTAATTCCAGGTCTTTCCATACCCAATTTGATAGCTTATTAAAAAGCTAAAACAAAACAGTACATCCCATGTACTTCAACCTACACTCCTTCATAACCGTTTGCAGGTTCATGTTCTAAAGGTCAAACATTCCCTCTCTAATACCAATTTATATTGCAAACATCAACTATATATATTTAACTTTCTTGCCAAAAATATCCCATGACATCATGATTACAGGCCACTGACCAGGCTGTATTAAATGTAGTTTACAAGTTTGGATTTGAAGCAGGATGACATGTCGGGGGTTAAGATGAAGAAGCACTGATGTTTTCCAGAATATTGGGAGTTCATAACGTCATTTGTCATAAATGGTATGTGTGCTCAAAGTTGTAGTCCGACAGTGATAGGTGTGGATACCAGGCAGGTTAATGGGCACTCAGTCAGTCAGACAGTCAGTCAGTCAGGTAGTGAGACAGTCGGGTAGTGAGACAGTCAGTCAGTGAGACAGTCAGTCAGGCAGTCAGGTAGTGAGACAGTCAGTCAGTGAGACAGTCAGTCAGTCAGTCAGTCAGTCAGTCAGTCAGGTAGTGAGACAGTCAGACAGTCAGTCAGTCAGTCAGTCAGTGAGACAGTCAGTCAGTGAGACAGTCAGTCAGTCAGTCAGTCAGGTAGTGAGACAGTCAGTCAGGTAGTGAGACAGTCAGTCAGGTAGTGAGACAGTCAGTCAGTCAGTCAGTCAGTCAGGTAGTGAGACAGTCAGTCAGTCAGTCAGTCAGTCAGGTAGTGAGACAGTCAGTCAGGTAGTGAGACAGTCAGTCAGGTAGTGAGACAGTCAGTCAGTCAGTCAGTCAGTCAGGTAGTGAGACAGTCAGTCAGTCAGTCAGTCAGGTAGTGAGACAGTCAGTCAGGTAGTGAGACAGTCAGTCAGGTAGTGAGACAGTCAGTCAGTCAGTCAGTCAGTCAGGTAGTGAGACAGTCAGTCAGGTAGTGAGACAGTCAGACAGACAGACAGTCAGTCAGTCAGTCAGTCAGTCAGACAGACAGACAGTCAGTCAGTCAGTCAGACAGACAGACAGTCAGTCAGTCAGTCAGTCAGTCAGTCAGACAGACAGTCAGTCAGTCAGACAGACAGTCAGACAGACAGACAGTCAGTCAGTCAGTCAGACAGACAGTCAGTCAGTCAGTCAGTCAGTCAGACAGACAGACAGTCAGTCAGTCAGACAGACAGACAGTCAGTCAGTCAGTCAGTCAGTCAGTCAGACAGACAGTCAGACAGACAGACAGTCAGTCAGTCAGTCAGACAGACAGTCAGTCAGTCAGACAGTCAGTCAGTCAGACAGTCAGTCAGTCAGTCAGTCAGTCAGGTAGTGAGACAGTCAGTCAGTCAGTCAGTGAGACAGTCAGTCAGTCAGTCAGGTAGTGAGACAGTCAGTCAGTCAGTCAGTCAGTCAGTCAGTGAGACAGTCAGTCAGTCAGTCAGCATTTGGCATGATTCTACCAACCTGGCCTTCTCCTCTCTGCATCTCTACACTTCTCTGTTTGTTCATGATCTTTTATTCTCTCCTCATGTCCGTTCTTAATGTTAGCCCCAAAGTCAGGTAAGGCTGAAGGCATGAAGAGCCCCCCCCTCCCAATACCTAACCCCTTCCCACATTTCACCCCTTCCCCTCCCCAGACTCCAGTGGTCAACTGAAATACATCTTTACTGTGAATGTTTGACTACTAACTCGATGATTTTCGCCAGATTGTTTTTGTTTGAACACTTTTGTATGTTGACATCAGGCCCTGTGTTGCGTACTGTGGTCCACTTGTGTGATATTTTATGTATGCCTTCATTTGAAAACAGTTGTGCTGTGTTCCCTGCCTGTGAGGGAGCAGCTCCATGAGTGTGCTTTTGTGTTGGACTGTGGTGACTGTTTCATAACCGCCTGGGTCTTTGTGCGTTAGCCACAAAGGTGGAGCTTTGCATTATTTTGGTTTATGTGCGGAGTTTTCCCTCATCACGCTTCCAGGGGCCTGAACTGATATATCTGTCGGCAATAGCTATTGCCTACATCAGTTTAGTGTCATGTAAGGAACAGTAAAGAATAATCTTACTGTCTGTGGTCGAGCACATTTCTTCTTGAGCAATATATGTTTTGTTTGTTTCTTTTATATGGAAATGTACATTTAAACTGTTTTAATCTATTCATTATGAATTTAATTTACACATTATTTTGTTTAATAATAATGATATATCTAGCTTGAAAAGAAACTACAAAAAGTCATTGAAAATATAGGATGATTCTTTTTTTTTTGCCAACAATATCAGTTTTTACAAAGTATCAATTATCTTGGTGCCACTATTTCAATATTTTATTAACAATACAAACCTGAATTTTGTATCTAGTAGATAGATTACATCTATTAATTATATATAATATAATAATTGTATTATATACAAATATCATAGTATTGCATGTTTTCCTTACACAAAGTGTTATTGGGCCATGGGTGGAGCTTTCATCTATTATTAAATTGGGCACGTTAAGTCTTTCAAAATATAAAAAAAAATGTATAGAGAAATGAATATCTTAGATATCATCAAATTAAATGTGAAAATAATTTGTGATCGCATGGTAATGGGATCGTTATCTGAACAATACAACCTTTTGTTTTCCAAAGGTATAACCTTTTATTATGAGGAAGTTGCTTATTATTTTGAGATAGCAAAAGACTCTTGCAATCTTGAGATAATTTAAATATTATTTATATTGCCAGACGGCCTTTCTGTGCTTCCACAGATTTGTCCTGTCAGAATGAGTTGCTGCGCTACAGAGCAGCTCCTCTGAGCACCGGCTAATTGGTTCACACCGGTTTACTTACAGTATGTGGAGCAAATAGAGCTGCTGTAACCGTGGTAGAGACATTAAGCAAACATTCATTTTTTTGTCATTGCCTGGGAATGCTCTTAATTCATCTCACTAATGTCTCATAAACAACACAGCTCATCGTCCATGACAACTGTATTTGGACAGAAGTGTAAAGTGTAAGACAAAATTAGCAGCTAATCATCTGCCTATTTTTCATCTTGTCAGCCAGCCTACTGTCCTCATGCTGTGTCCATTGTCCATCATATAGTAGTTTGCTTAGCTTTCATTAGCTACTCTGCTACCCTCAGGCTTTTAGGGCATTCAAATGGTGTGCTGGCATGATGTGAGTAGCCTCTGAGACTGAAGAGGCTCAAAAAAAGTTGGTGTAAACCCTAGGAATTGTTGTAACAATGTTATTTGGAAAATCGACATTGTCAACTGCATTTGCATCTGGATTTCTACAGTTTTTGTAATTGGTGTTGTGGCCTCATACAGTATCCTTTGTACACCACTCCCTTCTTTCTAGCAATGGAAACACTTTTAAGTTCTCTCCTAAAGATCGTTCTTCCTTCCCATGTGGTTGTTGTTGTCACTGGTGGCATACAGTCAGGTTCCTGGAAGCTGCATGCATTTAATGTGTTTATGTTTGTTTTTTCTGTTCACTTTCTCCCCCCCCCCCTTACTCCCAACCCCTCCTCGTCCTCTTCACCTCCCCTCTCCATCATTGTGAATGTTGTCTTGGTAACCGGCAACCCCACCAAGCCTGCGTTCCTTCAGTTCTGATAGGTCCAACACGTTGAATCGGAGCTCCTTCACGCGGGACAGCATGATGATAGAGGAGATGCTGGCACCTGGCAAGGACATGGTACGTACTAGGTGTCTCTTTTTTTTCCCTCTCCATGTTAGCATCAATTTCAATTTATTTCCTGCTCAGTAATCCACAGGTCATTAACCTCAACAAGAGACAGAGAGTTCTGTCTCTAAATGTGCCATGCTGACTAAGTGCTTTGTGAAAGGCCAGGTTAAACCAATCCTCTTACACCTGAGGTTGTGTTGACATGAAAACGGCCAATCCTGTTACATAGGACTGAAAGAGGAAATGGGATCAGTGGTGAGTGGTGCTATCTCCGAGGGATTGCATGGACCACTTACTTTCAGGGTGCAACAAATTGGCTTTTTCAAAGTAAAGTTGGAATTCATGTGAAATTTCTTTTTTAGAGGGTATATCGCATGAGCCAAGAACAACCCAACCAGGCCTGGCATCAGTAAACTTCTACCTCCTTATGAGTTTGTTTTGAAGACTTATCAAATATCTTCGTTAGTGTCATAATATAAATGATATTGTTCTCCATCTATAAGCATTATTAGTTCTAGAATCAAAAAAGATGGGTTGGACAAAGCCTCTTGTTTTGGTAGTGGTAGTTCCATGAGGCCTTGAAAACCTTGAACTTTTGTGAATTTGAGGACATTTTTTTGTTAGTAATAGTTAGTAAATAGACATACTGCTGTCTGCATGCGTTTCCCACAGTTAGATATTGTTAATGCCCCACCTGCCTCAAGAGAGTCCAATGGTTATTAACATTGATCCGTCTCTCAGACTATGTCGTGTTGGGTTATTATATATGAGGGAATCGAGTGGGATCCCTAGTAAATTACAAAAAACTAGAAATGTTCCCAGGGTTAGAAATTGCTGCTTATTGTTAGAAAATGTCATTGCCAAAATGATACATGATACAGAAACAATCGTCTTTTAATTGCTTTTTGGTGACAGATGTTTTTATTTATTTAATCAAATATGTCAAACTCCACAATGCTTTACAATAGTTGCCATATTTTAAGTATTGCACTTTCAAACAGTTGGAAGACAGGTCCAGAAACTCCTAATCTATTTACAAAAATATTGTATCCTACATTCCCTATGAAAAGAATTAGGCGGAGAACTTTAAAGCTTTTCTCAGAAGAAGTCTCGCCATGTTCTAGTATGCATGCGATTTATTTTCCTGCAAATGTGTGACAGACAGTGTTGCTACACTGAGTAATTGAATTCAGAGAAACATGGTTTAATGATGTGTGAATGTAACAGCTGCTAAATAACAGCTCGTCTCCTCTCACGCTGCTCCAGATGCTCTGTAAGGAGAGGTCTTTCATTGTAGAGAAACGCAACAAGGTAGACGTTTAAGTGCATGTGAGAATATGTCATTCACACTTTTTCATTTGATCATGTTTTATATGTGGTGTATTTATTTTTGTCATCAAAGCATGTAAATCATTGTTACTAAGTGAACCGCTTTTCTTTATCCATGTGTTGATGATGAATAATTAGAGACACTACTTACTGGATTCCTTCCTTATTAATGATGGGATTGAATAAGAGTCATATTTTGTACATCTTATGTGGTAGGAATTCCAATGTTTTGTCATCAACTCATTAACATTAGTTATATAGGTGTTTATAATTATTACCAACGTTAACACTCATAACAGTTATAAGTGTCCATTGAAGTTTTATGACATATGGCTATTTTTGGGGAATAAAACACTACATTTTTAAGTCAGCAAACTGTGTCTTTATTAATGCATTTTAGCATTAATTAGCCGTAAAATTATTTTTAAAGACCTGTTTTCTTTACCAATTGCATCCATTTACTTTAAACATATGGTGCTGGTTTTCTGTTCTTACCATCTGTAAAGGAGTAGATTTTTTTTAATTTAAAAGACTATTGTTCTGGTAATGTTTTCCTTTTTTCCCACTAATATACTAAATGTATAGATGGTATTTTTGACTACTTGGGTACTCATACAGTATCTTCAGATGTTCTATTTCATAACGACAGCTGCTGCCGTCTCCTGACTATAGAAATAATGTTATGACTCAGCCATAAATCCTGCAAGCGGTACTAGTGTTGATGCCACCTTCCCCAGAGGAGGTGAAACTAGAAATAAGCTTGAGAGGAAATGCCTTGTCATCATGTTATATCAGAGCTCACAGCTAGCTCTCGAGAATAAAACTAAAGGTTAAGGAAACGAGAACAGACTTTATCAACACATTTTCATATTTGGTTTGTATACTTCATGGCAATTCAAATGCATGAATTCATCATCATCGTACATTGTGAGGTAACTCTCAAACATGTTTTATTATTTATTTCTTCTTCTGCACATGCAATGTCGGTCACATGCACACACATACACACACACTAATGCATTGCAATGACCTTGTCTCCTCCACAGCATCTGGCGGTGGCTAAGGACTGCGATAACGACTCTCTGAGGAGATACAGTTGGAACCCAGACGCCCATGATAATGTCAACATAGTGTCCTCGCCAATACACTCGGGGTAAGCACGTTTTAAAGTGGATAAAGAAGGATACAAGACATGTGCTTGTCTGTGTTTCCTCCCACCTGTATATTCTCTGTCTGTCTCCTTTTTTCATTTACTTTTCCCTTGAGAAAATGGTTCCTACCTGCAGCAGTTTCTCTTCTCCCCCTCTGTCTGTTAGCAAAAGTGACACTTCTCTTATTTCCGTAGTCACTGTATTCAATCAGTCTGCAAATACATTTAACCTTAGAAACTGATGGCTTCAGTTTTTCTCTGTGTTTAACCAAACCCTAAAATCTGAACTGTGCTCATCTGATGCTAAAGGTCAGGTAAATCCTTGGCCTCGCCGCAACAGATCCCACTGTGACTCAGAGAAATGCGGAAATGAAGGTTCTGAAATTTAAAGCAAAAGTTTGACATTGTCGGAAGTATGCCCATAGCTTTCTGGACTAGAGTTCAATGAGAACATTTACTTCAGGTCTGTCCAGTAAATTGAAAAGGAATAATGGCAACTGAAAGTAGCGAATTAGCTTAGCTTAGCACAAAATACTTGAAACCTGGAAAACATTGATCCTTTCTAAGATCCACCCAGCACCTCTAAAGCACACTTGGGTTGTGTTTGAAATCCCATCAATACAAACTTAATTAGTATCTACTAAATACTGTGAAAATTTCATTTCACACTTACCTTAACTCAAGCAATTTGTCTTATTTATTGACAGTAACGTTTAGCAATACTTCTCCGAGCTGCCGTAGAATTGATATATTTCAGTATTATATCAATGCAAATGTAAATTGTTAAAGGTTTTAGTTTTAAACATGTTTTTGACAGCATATTATTTTGTATATGTGAGCATTTATCCTCGTGACCGCACCTTATTTCACTGGTCATCTTTTGTTATTATTTTATTGGTTAATGATTTAAACCAGCTTTCCTGCAGTCCGCCATTGGACAGTCTAAGTTAAATATGTCCCGTAAATTCATGTGTCATACTCAGAAATTCCTGCTAATCTTCTTTACATCCAGGCATTTCTGGCGTACACAAATCAACATACAGTACTTTGAAATTGGAACACATTGCATACATAATTTTACACCACACTAATTATCAATAGTAGTATAGTTTGTGATTTTGAACACAGCTGTTATATCAAAATGTAGAGGAGAAATTACAATTCAGACTTGGTGCTAAGCTAAGCTAACTGGCTGATAACTGTGAACCAATATATAAAAGACAGGCTCAACTTCTCATCGAACCCTCGGCCAGAAAGCGAATAAGCATATCTCCCAAAATGTCGAGCTATTCTTTAAAGGACTCCTTGGTGGTGGTCTTCTCAGTGGTGTTTCCTCTGACAAAGCTCTGTTGTTGACCTGTCACTCCTGCGTTGCTTTGTCGTCCATCCTGCAGTTTTTCCTCTCCGCTCCCGCAGTACGACAGCAGGTGATTGACTGTGATTGGTTGCCCTCTTTTGTCACCTCCACCTTGTTTGTTGTTACTTCCTGGTGACATCACGCCCCCCCCCTCTCCGTTCACTCATAACATCTGCGTTTGCTCTCCTCACACATGAACTGTGTTGTAACAGATCTAATTTTTGGACCTTGTGTGTATTCCTTTTGTTTGGAGGAAATCTTTGTGAGTCTCTTCAATGTATAATATGTGACATTTTCATGTTCAAATGTCTGGTTAAATTATTTGTTATCACATTTTAAGGTACATTTTTACAATACTTTTAAAACTTTTTTTCCTCTTTATAATATTTTTTATATATTTGAACTGGACGACAGATTTTAGTCATCGAACATCTGGATAATAAGTTATCGGAGAAACAAGTTGAGCAAAAGTAAGCGGTAGCCAAACAGCATTGGTCAAACACTGATTATTAACGTGAAATTGCTTTAATGCTTTTACTCACCATGTCCATTTGTTTTGGAAAGGAGGAGACCCTCGGCTTTTTGATATAGACCTCCTGAGCGTCTGGATCTTAATGAGAGAAACATGGAAAGCAAATATTAGTAATACAGTCCAATTCAAGATTAATACACTGCAACTACAGATACCATGTGTGATACCTCATGTATTTTGAAGAATCTATGCATTCACTTGAGACGTCAGAATCATACTTTTCAAAGGATGCAAAATTACATTTATATTCACATCATTTATTCAAAACCTACATATAACTAACATGAAATATTGTTCACCAAATTGCATGGTGTGGATCTGTGTGCAGTGTGTGTGTTATGGTATTTCCTTCTACAATGAGTTACACACAGGGCTACTGTACCTTGTATGAATAAGACACACAGGTTACACCGGAGGCTCCTGTGTTGGCATTATGGGTAATTCATCCACTTGTAATAATATTCACTGAAGAATAAGCACTTTTATGTAGCGATATTGTTACATCTACTTGGCAAAGTTTTTCAAGGGCAGCCATAGCCAACACAGAAAACTCTTCTGAAACACTTCTGTTCTGTCTTTATCTCTTTTGCTCACACTTACACTTTGTGTCTCACTACCTTGATTTCACCTCAACTAAAGCTCTTCCCTCTCCATCAATGCCGACGTTTAATTGATGTGTATTACTTTCTATTCCATTCCTTTTCTATATCCTTCCTTCTATCTGGTATCCATCTTTCTTTCACTTTGCACTCTCTGCTCCACCGTCTCCTCTCACTCTTCTTCCTCTGCTCCTTTTTCTTCCTTTCCTCTCCCTCTGTCAGGTTCCTGGTCAGCTTCATGGTGGACGCCAGAGGTGGCTCCATGAGAGGGAGTCGTCACAACGGCATGCGCATCATCATCCCGCCCAGGAAGTGCACAGCGCCCACCAGGATCACCTGTCGCCTGGTCAAGAGACACAAACTGGCCACGCCCCCTCCGATGGTGGAAGGAGAAGGCCTGGCCAGCCGATTGGTTGAAGTCGGTCCTGCAGGAGCTCAGTTCCTCGGGTGAGACTCACATTTCTTTTTTTAACTCACCAATAGTGTTGCTGTTTGCTTAATTGCTTTTTTTACGGCACTTTTGTTAGGTGACTTGACATCTTATTCCTTCCGCTTCTTGCCATAGCCATCTCACGCCATCTGCGTTATATTTCTAAAGTGTGAATGAGTCTATGTGCATGTTTAGGTGGAATACGTGCTGTTTAATTAGCAGTTAAAGTGTAATTGTTGCAGTGTGATAACCCTCAAGCATTAAGTCCGGACTTTGGCAAAGTAAAGGCAACATTGCTAACGGATGTAAACTGGAAAATTAAGGACCATGGGAAGAAAATGAATAGTGCACATGTTTTAGTTTTATATACATTACCACCCTATGTCAGGAAGTTTGTCAAAGCCAACAGAGATGATAGATGTGTCTCAACTGAATGAACATGCTTTCACTCCTGGTTCATTTACATAATTACAGTGTTAATACAATGCAACACACTGTGTATGTCTGCATGTCCAAAGATAGTTCTGAATTAGATTGCAGCTTTGAGACACAAATATCTGTTACTATTTCAGCTCGTTTTAAAGCTGGATCTAATTTTATGAAAAATAAATAAAGACAAAAGTAAAAAGATTATGCTTTTAAATAGACAAATGCAACAGAGGTTTTCTACACTGCAATATTACTTTTTTTTCTACTTTAAGTTGAAATCCCTAAACGTACAGTCCTAGTGAATCAGGCATCACCCTATTTGTGGTTTTAGATGCTTTGCGGCAGCAAAATAAACTGTTGTCATTTCAACAAAGAAGTATGTGAAAATGAAAGTTTGCTGCCTCGCGTCCATAGCTCTTCCTCTTACCGCTCACTGTGGCTGCTCTTGATTCTTCCATTACTTTCTGCAATATTTGTAATATAATTTCTAACAGCTGTCAAAAATGCCGCACATTACGTCTTGCTGTCTTGTTTTTTAAGCTCATTTTTAATGAACAACAGCGGCCAACGTCAAGCTCATTGAAAAACACATTGCATGTCCTGTGACAACTTCATGATAAAAGTCGCTTGTGTTTCAACAATTAAATGCTTTCAATATGAATCTGCTCGTTCACCATTTGGTAACCTTGTTTGGTAATAGAAAATGGCTTAACAGAATTTAAATAGTTTTTCCACCGGAGCGTATTATCTTCAGAAGTAATTACATGTGTTAATATTAGATGTTGATACACCATGTGTGTATACCAACCAGAAACTGTTATTGTGAGTGTGCATTTGCTGTTGCTGTTGTCCCTGATGAGTGCTGGACAATAGAAACAGGAATTAATTTAACGATACAACTCTGCAGTGTGTGCTGTTACTGACTTTACAAGTGTGTGTATATGTTGGGGTGCGCGTGTTTTTCATTATCTTGTGGACGCAGTAAACTACATCTTCCCAGAAAGCTGCCAGCCCTTAGTGAAGGCGAGAGCCTGGTTAGTCCAGTGCTTCAGCTGGGACCCAGAGGAACTAGATTTGTTGGGTAGGAACCAAACATAGCACCCCCCCCCCCCCACCACCACCTTCTCCTCTCCTTTACGTACCTCCCACCTCCCCCGAGGAAACAACATGACCCAGGCTGACTCATGCTGAAGGATATGATTATTTTCCATCTCTATTGATTTGTCAGGATACAACATTACTGCTACATGGTTTCATGTATTTTTGGGAAGAAATCAATGACGTAATTAACCTTTTGAAGTGAGGACAATTAGTTAGTAGTATTACATATAAAGTCATTTGTATGATTTGTATTAGCCTTAATAACATCTTAGGGTGAGACATAAAATATAGATTTTACATTTGATATTTTATAATTCTTCCTAAAACTACCCTTTAAATCCATGACGGTTATTTTCAAGCCACTTTCATTCAGAGACCATTGTATATATTTTATTTCAGAACCTTTCAGTGGGCTTATGACGTCCCTGAAAGAAGAAGTTTTGATTGGCTGTTTGGACTTGACTGCACTTGTTGGGCATGAGCCTTTTCCTCCTCAAGCCGAGCATCATCCTGCTTCTCATGACCGCTGTTACTTTACTTCACCTTTTAGGTTCAGTTGTATGTCATCCCACACAATGTTTGTGTTATTTATTTACAGAGACTTATATAATATAGTAATAACACAAAATGATACATTTAAATGAATAACTACTTGGCATTGAACCTGCAAGTGAACTCTAGTTTTAGAGCAATTAATAACAGCACAGAACTAGAAAGTCAAAAAGTGCTAGCAGTCTGTTAAAACTTGACTGAAATTTCCCACGATTTCCGAACAAGTGATTGATTAACTTTGATACTGCAAGCATATTTTATGCTAATACTTTTGTACCTTTACTTGACACATGACTTGTACTTGTAACTGAGTATTACTACACTGTTGTGATACATATGAGTTACATATTTGAGTACCTTTTCCCTAGACTACAGATTTACAAGTGAGGTACCTTTTCACCGTCTGTGTACAACCTAGATGTAGGACTTTATCACTCATAGAAAGACGCTGATTGAGAAAAAAGTACTTAATTTTGTGACTTTGCCAAGGGAATGATCAATAACTATAGTTCCTCTGTGTGTCCTTTTGTACTCTCTACTCTGGGGTAAAAATGGTCCTCAAACTAGAGTACGTTCATCCTTCTCTCTTGTGTTGTCATCGTGCCTTGTTTGAATAAGGGCTGTGCAGCTTTCTCACCTCACTCCTCCGTCTATTTCATATCAATTCATGCCTTACACTGTATGACACACACTGCAAGTGTCCCTTCAACTGCAGCACGGCCACCGCTATCATTTTAAAGATCCTCTGTCATCAGCAGAACCAAAGTTCATTCATACCTGTAAAGTGTGTTTCTGACATCAACGTTCTTTAATGTTCCTTGTTCATATTTCCCTTGTAGAATTAACAATCTGAATGGATTTCATCTTTCATTAGTGACTATCACCCCCCTATGTATGATGTATCCTCCATTATTTGTATTTCAGATTTGATTTTGCAACTTAACCTCGACTTTCTTGGTTTACCCATCACCTGCCATTGCATTTGAATACGATTAATTACATCTTGCTTTCATGACATGCTCCTCACCAGGCCTGTGATTGTGGAGATCCCTCATTTTGGCTCGATGCGAGGCCAGGAGAGAGAGCTGATCCTGCTGCGCAGCGAGAACGGGGAGAGCTGGAAGGAGCACGTGTACGACTACAAGACTGACGACCTCAGGCAGCTCCTCAGTGGGATGGATGAAGGTGAAGCACAAGTTCAGATTTCTTCTTTTTTTTGTCAAAACTTTGTCTTATAATGCCAATCAGCCAAGTATTTTTTATTTCAAGGTGATTTGGTAATAACATTTCCTAAACCATTCTTTCAAAAGTCTTTATAAATGATATGTAATGTCTTAAAAAATGATAAAACATGAGAAGTAGTTTTTGTTTTGTTTTTATTCTTTCAAATTAAATGATATAGTGATTTTTAAGTCCCTCTATGTAGAATGATATGGCATCACAGAACGATGTCAATTATTCTGAGAGCATTAGTTTTTGTTTTTGAAATATTAGCCAGAGTCTCTGTACCTACCTACTATGTACTGTTTTTAAAAGGATGCAAGTTATGTAATCACAAGCACTGAGACAAATGTAACATTTGTGATATTGGGCTATATAAATAAACATTGATTGATTGACAAGACAATGTAATTAAAGTAAGTTACTTGGAGAGAGTAGACCAAGAATGCATGCCATCCACCAAGATGCATGACATTTTGGCAAGTAGTTTCCCTCTAATCCTGCTGACTGACAATCAAATGTAAAGCAAGACCAACCTTATTTAAGGAGGTTATAAAGATTCAGACTCATGTCTGATTCTAGAAGTACTAAACTGAGCTGTTTTGTAGGTTGGGAAAATAAATGATTTATATTTCACATGTTATATATTGTAAACTGTGTATTTTGCTTCCCTGTAGAGCTGGACAGTCCTGAGGAGCTGGAGAGGAAGAGAATCTGCCGCATCATCACCAAGGACTTCCCACAGTACTTTGCTGTTGTGTCTCGAATCCGGCAGGAGACCAATCAGATGGGACCAGAGGGCGGAACTCTGTGCAGCCGCAGCGTCCCATTGGTTCAAGCTTCCTTCCCTGAGGGGGCGCTAACCAAGAAGATAAAAGTTGGACTGCAGGTGAGTTCAAAGTCAAAGTCAACTTTAATGTCAATTTTTCTGTGGGTTTGTACAGACAGAGAGATCGAAATAACGTTTCCAACAATCCCGAATACAAAATACAATAATACAAATATGTATACATATGTATAAATATGTATATCCTCTATATATACAATCAACAGACACATTTACACATACTGTATGCACACATTAAGATAAAACACAACAATAAATATATACAAAATAACAGTCTTTGGATTAGTTTTAATTTTTTCTCTAAGTCCAGTGTCAATTGTCCTTGTTAGTTTGAATCACTCTTTTTAGTTTTATATATAGTTTAAGTTAGCTTAAATTCTGGGCATTTTAGTCTTAAATAAGTAAAAAATACCTATATCAGTTTGTCTTTCACTCAGAAGCTTTAACCAAACATACACAAACATTAAACACACATTACTTAATCCCCTCTCTCCCAGGCCCAGCCGGCACCCGACGACACTGTGAAGAAAATCCTCGGTAACCGGGCAACCTTCAGCCCCATCGTTACCGTGGAGCCCAGAAGAAGGAAGTTCCACAAACCCATCACCATGACAATCCCAGTCCCGCCTCTTTCAGGGGAGGGGTTTACCAACGGCTACAAAGGAGACTGTACGCCATGTCTCCGCCTTCTCTGCAGCATCACAGGTGTGTGTGTGTGACAGTACTTGTATGGCTATCTTTGTGAGGACCATTGATTTGTGAAGAGTGATTTTTTTTTTTTTGGGGATATTGTGGCCTGTCTTTACTAATTTAATTTGTTAAATAGGAAAACTAAATTTGACATACATTTACAATAATAATGCATATAAGTTTAATACAAATTTCTGGAGGGGACCTTTATTTTAATTTTATTTTTTTACACTGACTGTAAACCTGTTAATAGTTCTTGCATGGTCTACTTTTCTTTTTGCAACTTATCGATTACTTTTGTTCTTTACATGTTGTTTTATTTGCAGTCTTTCCTACTTTGAACTGCAACGGCACATCACATAAAAACTGTTTCATCTTAACTTAACTAGAAAATAGCTTGTCAAAAGAATATACTGTATGATGACGAAAAATGAATCAAACTCTTTCTATTTATCTTCCAGGTGGTACGTCCCCTGCACAGTGGGAAGACATCACTGGCACCACTCCTCTCACTTTCGTCAATGACTGCGTCTCCTTCACCACTAATGTTTCTGCAAGGTGAGACACTGACTACATGCACACACTTTTACTCTTTTCCATCTGTTGTATTAACATCTGTGTCTAAAATCATTTTATTTTTCATCCGTGCAGGTTCTGGTTAGCTGACTGCCACCAGATCCCAGAGACGGTGGGCTTGGCCATGCAGCTGTACAGGGAACTCATCTGCGTGCCCTACATGGCCAAGTTTGTTGTGTTTGCTAAGACCAACGACCCAATGGAGTCCAGACTGAGGTGCTTCTGTATGACAGACGACAAGGTGGATAAGACCCTGGAGCAGCAGGAGAACTTTGAGGAGGTGGCCAGGAGCAAGGACATAGAGGTAAATACAGAAATGATGGTATTATAAATTATTTTAACCCTTTAATAAAATGATTTTAGTGATTACTAAATTATTTAGTTTCAAATGTATGCAAATGCTTTTCCCTGTGTGAACAAGTTATTATCACTTCTTGTATGTATTTGAATGCCTTAAATTAGGATATTTGTTCTGTCAGGTTAAACACCAGATATAAAGCAATTGCCAATTAATCAAATACCTTCATAATTAATTATTTAGTTCTACAAATTCATGTTATTTATACAGCTACAGTTTCATTTGTGAATATGTTTCCATTTAAAACATGTAAAACAAAATGTGAAGCTGTTTTTTCCAAGATTATAAATAACTAGCATAGCTATAAAGGCAACAGAAAGGAGTGTAAGGCTTAGAGTCAAAGTGGCCTGAGAACAGTCCTATAACTTAGGGCTACTTTGAAACCGAGTGATCCACTTTTATTTTGCACATGATAAGATGTTCTTACCTGTAATGTTCTCTCTCAGGTTCTGGAAGGCAGGCCCATTTATGTGGACTGCTATGGAAACGTGGCTCCTCTGACTAAAGGTGGTCAGCAGTTAGTTCTTAACTTTTACGCCTTCAAGGAGAACCGTCTGCCCTTCTGTGTCAAGGTACTGCATTTACACTCTTTACCAGCAACCTTCTCAGGCTGGAGTTGGGAGACCTATAAATCAACATGACAAAAACTTTTGAAGTTACTAAGAAGTATACCTAAGATGTCACAAGAAACAAGACTTAATGAATGAGAAAGCAGGAGCAGAAACAACTTTGATGGTGATAAAATACCATGATTGTTTTAGCTCCATTCTCTAATGATGCATTACATTACTCCTTCTCACACTAGCTTTTAATACAATAAACAAAGGTCCACAGGGTATAGTAACTTAGTTCCCTTTGCCCCTGATAAATGCTTCATTGATTGACGCGTTAACCTCATGTTCTCCATAATCAATCCCCTTGCAACATTTGGGTAAAAACTATTCTTGCTGTGTGTGAACTAGAACACCACTAATTGAAATTACAGAAGCAGGTTTCAATGTGTATAACATTACTTACAAATATATTCCTTTAGTCATATTTCCACAAATGTTCATTTAGCAAAACATGTCAGTAGATAAAATGTGAAAACAAGAGAAAATACAGAAATGGTATGTGCTTTGTGTGGCATTTTGGAACTTTATCAAATTGAGATTTTGTATATAGATTCACCGTAGTTGTCATTGCACACCTGACACAATGAAGTGCAGTTTATCATCCGGTCAGTAGTGCAATAAGCAGTAGTTCAAAATGATTGTACACCTGTTTTTTGGTTAACAGTAAGGGGTATGAATTCAGCAGAATGTGTACAGTATGGACAGTATGACATGTGCTGCAGTTACCAAAATACATAACACAGTTTGTAATAAGTATATACAGTATTAACTTATGAATACATCTTACAGTTTGTAAGATATTCACAATATGAACAGGATAGCCTTCAGGTAGTATATGCTTCAAAGGTACATTTCTTATTCCGTTTCCTACTTGGCTGCACAAATAAAAGAAATATACAGTACATACACCACAAAAATCACAAAATACACTGTATATGCTGCTGTCAACTGCTGACATACACAATTGTATTTGTTAAAAAACACAAAAAATACATTTAACATTAAAAATAAAGTATGCACTTTTGTGTGGTAGAATGAATGTTCTAGGGTGTAGGGTTTACACACTGAAGCACATCCGCAGTGCCACCTTTAAAATAGGAACACGGTACATAAAGAAGCAATGTTCTCTCCTCAGGTGAGAGACCCCAGCCAGGAACCCTGCGGTCGTCTTACGTTCCTCAAAGAGTGTAAGACCATAAAAGGCCTTCCACAAACTGCCGTTTGCAACCTGAACATCACACTGCCAGCAGTGAAAAAGGTAAGGTAACCTGAACTCACCATTTTCTGTTTTCACCTCCATGACCATACTCGTGGTTAGGGTACTTTGGCCCCATTAAACAGATAGATGAAGGCCAAACCACCGCCTGTGTCTTTTATCTGTTTAAAGCTTCTCTCTATGTAAATCAGTTATTTATGCAGTGGATTATTTTCATTGGCTGTTTCATGTTGTCCCTACGTATCTTTTGATTTGGATGACATGCTTTTGGCTGAGCGCTTTGTGCAAAAAGGGCTTTTTTTTTATTATCGGGCTGGCTTTTTGTGGCTTGACTTCATTTGCTGTTTTTGCTGCTGAGTGTTGGCACTTTATTTGTTTGGTGTTGTCAAGTCTGTGTTTTTTGGTTTTGGTTTGCTGAGTTTGCTAAAGTGGCTTCTCTTCTGAGCTTCTGTCAATCACTCCTTTTTCACGCCCTGATGTTTCTTTTCCCCTGCTTTTCCATTATGTTACTCCCCCTGTTTCTGCAATGCATCTTGGGAACCAGGAAATGGAGTCAGATGCCGAGGACGAGGTAAACCACACCCTCCCCACCATTTGCTGTCCTCTGCGCTAGATCTATAGCGGCCCTGCTTCATCATAGCCTTATTCTTTTTCGCTTCTACAAGGAACAATACAAGTTTCCTTGTTTAAAGCAACCTTTAGCTGCTAGGGTTTGCATGAAATATCGTAAAACGACTTGTGTTATGTCCAATCCTTATTCCTTCCGCTTTACAGTATGTAATACAAGTACGTTTGGAGTTTAGGTTTACTTATATTGTCCTTTTTAACCTTTAGTAACGTTACCAAAATAATGTTGCACTTTTAAGTACTTATCATTTAGAGTTTGTAGGGTTATCATGACTAACTTAAGCTAAATTGGCTATCTTGGCATAGTGACAATTTTTTTAAGTTGGAATATACGTACTAAACATTTGTATGTTAATACCAAAAAATGCAGACCAATGGGTTAGCTTTAATTTGACATTGATAAGGTCCAAATGTTTGTCATTTGGCCGCACCGTATAATGTAGGGTGACCTAAACTAATAGGTGTTTGTGTTGTTTGCTATTGTTGCAGACTGAAAAGCCAGAGCGACGTCATACCTTTGCATCCCTAGCCTTACGTAAGCGCTACAGCTATCTGGCCGAGCCTGCACTGAGTGAGTTTTGACATATTTACTAACAAACACCTTTGATGAATTTAATTATGCCAATTTTCGTGGATAAGATCGTCTATTAACAATTCTAATTCAAATGTAAAATGCGTGACCGATTTGTAGACCGATGTGACTTACCTAATGTTATAAATGCATATCTCTCATCCCACATAACATGCACTGTTCACATGCCTGTTTACAACTTGGTACATCTTTTTGCATGAGTCAATGAGTTGGTTTTGTGCTGTGCTTGCCCACATTGTGAGTTGTATTTCTTCTGGGTTTGTTTGGTTGACTTCCACTGCTGAGTTTTAGAAGTCCTAATACAGCAACATCAAACATTTTCTTTGACTTACCATCACAATGTCGTTGGCATTTGAGAGGCAGTCAAAGTAAAATTGTATTTATTCTTCATTTGTCCCCTCTGAGTTCATTTGGCTTTGTGATGATGTAGCAGCTTTTTGTGGGATACACATGCATGATAGGAGGTCTTGAGTTTGGCTTTCTTTTGGGTGTCTCTTCCAGTTTTTCACACTTTGTGCTTGTCACCAGTTCTTATCAATCTTGCATGACAAAATGGGCCAACACCTAGGTCTTGGAAAACACATTTTGTCATATGTTTTGTTGTATAATTATAGAAAAATTGAAACTTCTGGAGCCATTGGCTATGTTGTATCAATTGTGTCTAAATTGTCTTTTAAAACCTTTCATTCAACGTTTGAACCAAACAGATAAAAGGCACTTTAAGAAGCGGATTGAAATTAGAGCCAGAACCCATAGGCTGATGTTCAGAACATCAGAAGTCCAAAGAGAGAAGTTTTGTTTATGTTGATCCTGGTGCATTTGTCTTACCATTTTTATGTTCTCAATTGTCAGTCCAAGCCATTGTCTTTGGGATTTTACTTTGCTGCTGTTTGTGTTTTGTTGCGTTTATTCATTATGTTGTTTTCGCTGTTTGAGTCATGTACTAATCCTGAATTCACACGGAAACACAACCGTTTCTTTTCATAACTCCATCTTCAATCAATACTCAAATATCAGCACATCATAAAACTGCAATTTTTCCTTCCTTGATACCAGGACTGCGTCACTGACCAAATATTCCTCCTCTGATCTCTTCTTCTTACACATTTTTTCTTCCTTTTCCTTCCCCAACATCATTTTATGTTACCTTTACAACTCCACATTTTTGTTATTATTTTTTTCCATTCCTTCTTTATCTTTATTTCTAAATTCACCTGAAGAAACGGCCGTTGAGCAGCGGAGCACAACTGCAAGAACACTGCCTGCTGGTTACCCTCACAAACCTGTCTTTCCAACCAGACATTACCCACCATGGTCGACTGCTCCTATTACCGTCCCTGGCCAAACAAGGCCAGTCGGAGTGGGGGGTTCCCTCACCTGTACCGATTCCCCGGCAGGCTCACCAGCTGCTTCTCCATTGAAAACCTCCTGGCCCCTCTCTTCCCCTTCACCTGCATGCGCTGCAACAATCAGAACTACCCTGGGAGCTCCACCACCACCACCACCTACTCAAGTTAAACCTGTTGATGACAATGTGTTCTCATCCCCCATCAGGTCTTACAGGACTATGCCTTCACCCATTAAAACTGTTGTCCAGCTGGGTCAGTACCCTGTACAGGGGTCTGCCAGCTTTGTGTCTTCTGGAAGCCCATGTAAACTTGCCACAGACCCAGCATCTATCAAAAACCTTGCTTCAGCATACACATCAAGGACTTCCCCACTTCACACCATACCAAATGGTTCTGTACCAGAGAGGTCATCAGCTTCTCTTACTGCTCCAGCATCGCCAAAGTCATCCTACAACTTGTACAATTCTAATTTGCCTTTTAAAACTGCCCTTGGGTCCACAATTGTGACAGATTCCTCTGTTAAAAGCATGTCAGGCCTGTCCTCGTTAAAAACCTCTGTAGATTCAACACTTGCATCGAGAGGAGGAAGAACCTCCCTCTCATCACTCTCCTCAACTGGACAGACAACCATAGCTTCCTCAGAATTGTCCACGATGAATGGATCAGTCTCTCCTATTAAATATCCATCCTCTTCCTCCACACCATCCTCCCCTTCGTCTCGCAATCTCTCGGAGAGAAGTAGCAGCCTTCAGGAGAGAATACAGGCCACCACCCAAGCAGCAACCTCTGGTGTTAGCGCAGCCATAAATGAAGCTATAGACTCTTGTTCTGTGTCAGGCTATGGCACTATTAGATCGTTGTCCACCTCACGCAGGTCTGCAGCAGCAAGCTCTGCTTATGGTTCTTTGAGATCTGTAGCCGCCTCCTCCAGTTTGGCAGTTTCTTCTAACACACTAACTGTACCAGTGTTTTCGTTAGTCATTCCAGACACCCCTGTCAAACCAGGGCCAGGGTCTCTCAAAATGGCACTGCCTGATTCTTCCCGTGCCTCATCTTCATTTTCTTCCTCTTTGTCTTCCTGTGTTACTGGATCAAAAATAAAATCCCAACTTAAATCCCCTCCGTTTATCACGCCGCCCATCATCCACCCAACGGGAACTTCCAACCAGGAGATACTAAAAGATGTAGCAGACATGAAAGAGGATCTGATCAGAATGACGGCTATCCTACAGATTGACACACAGACTGCAGCTAAAACAGTTCAAACATCTCAAACTGGCACTCCTAAAGAAACCAAGTTAGAGGATGAGGAGCCATTTACGCTAGTGGAGAAAGTTAAAGAAGACTTAGTTAAGGTCTGTAGGCTATTACAGAAAGACATCAAGATTGAGAGTAGGGTTAATGCAGGTAAAGACAGAGCATCTGAGGATGAATGGGAAGAATTTTCCAAAGATGAAATTGAGGAGGCGCAAAGTTGTGCCCTCTCAGACAATTACCCTCCTTTTGAGGAAAACACTCTCCTGCTGAAGCCGCAGTCCATTTCAAGCAAAGACTTACAGTTGAGTAAAGTAGTCGATTATTTAACAAATGATATTGGCGCCAGCTCTCTTTCAAGAATGGCAGAGTTGAAAAGTAGGCACGAGGAGGAGGCAAAAAGGGAAGGGGAAGAAAAACAGAAACGTGTTCTTAAACCATCAATGTCAATACAAGAGCACAAACTCAAAATGCCTCCGCCTGTCTCAGGCATGCTCAGGTCTCCATCAGAGAAGGACCTAAGTAAACTTTCTGAGTCATCATATCAAGGGAGTGACACTATCTTGGAGTCCCCAGAGGACCTCTCTCATGAGCAGGATAAGAGTCCCCTGTCAGACAGCGGGTTTGAGACAAGGAGTGAAAAGACACCCTCTGCTCCTCAGAGTGCAGAGAGTACAGGACCAAAGCCTTTATTCACAGATTTACCCATTCCTCCCTCTGTTACTGAAACCAGGACTGAAGCGGTCCATATGAGGGGCTTTGAACAACTTGATGATCCTTGTGGGCCTATACTCATTGAGGAAGCTGCATGTGCTTTCCCCTCTTTAGAGCCAGATGCAGCTTCAATGAGCTCCATGAAAGCTTTACAAATGAAAATACCGGAAGAAAACAAAAGTGTGTGTCTTAAAGAGGAAACTCATATTACTACTACTACTAGAATGGTCTATCATAAGCCCCAACTGACTGATTGTGCAGAGATGATAGAAGAAGGTTTGTCAGTTAGAGATATCATGAAAGCATTCCAGTCAGGTAGGGACCCATCTAAAGATCTGGCAGGCCTTTTTGAACACAAGGCTAGTCAGGATTCAGTCAAAGGTGATGAGCTGACTCCTAGGTTTCTTGACAGAGACATTAAATCTAAACCTAAAGTCGAAAGGATAATTGAGGTTCATATTGAAAAGGGCCACAGCACAGCAGAACCGACTGAGGTTATTATCAGGGAAACCAAGAAACACCCTGAGCTTTATGTCTACAAAGGTGACCATGGGATTAAGGAACTAACGGATGACTATGAAGCCCAACAGGAAGAGGAGGAGCTTACTGTTGAAGAATCCCTGCCCTCCTTTCTAGATACATCTCGCGTCAACACCCCAGTGTCACAGGAGGAGGACAGTCGCCCAAATTCTGCCCAGTTGATAGCAGATGATTCTTATAAAGCCCTAAAACTATTGAGCCAGAACTCCATAGAATACTGTGATGATGAACTATCAGAAATCAGAGGCGAGTCATATAGGTTTGCTGAGAAAATGCTCCACTCAGAGAAACTTGAAACATCATCACTGTCTCACTCTGACACAGAGGATTCAGCAATAGTGACTGACAAAAAACGCCACCAAGTTTCTGAGGAGAGTTGTAGCCGTGATACTGAGAGTCAGCCACATGGAAGCCCAAAAAGAGAGTTTGCTTCTAAGTCTTCAAAAGATGGGTCCCCAATATCGGGTCAATTTGTGCAGCGGGATGAACCATCTCAGTTTGATAAGGTGACAGTGCTTCATTACTCCACAGAGCAGGGCAGCCCCAAACATGCTGTTTGGATGCGATTTACAGAGGACAAACATGACAGGAGCAGGGATAAGCTTCTTTATGAGGATAGGGTGGATCAAACTGTAAAGGAAGCTGAAGAAAAACTTAGTGAGGTATCACAGTTTTTCCGTGACAAAACAGAAAAGCTCAATGATGAATTGCAGTCCCCTGAGAAAAAGCCTGTTAGACGAGAGCCAAAGGAACCCAGGTCATGGCCTAGCTCAGCTTGCAGTACCCCTGAGAAAACACTACAGAAACCTAAAGCAGAGGAGGGCTTCAAGAAAAGCAAACTTAAAGAGCCTTCTGTTGGGAAAATGTTTGACCGTACCACTACAACAGAAAATAAAAGTTCTAGCTTACCAAGCAGTCCCCAGAAAAGCAAGCTCCCTCATAGCAGTGAGGATAACATTAAACAACAAACAAAAACCAGTGAGTCTGAACCCTCTTCTCCCTCTAATGTAAAATCAACATCCAAAGTCAGTGCTGTGAGGATGAAGTTTGAATCTGAAGCTCAGAAACAAACTCAGTCTAGTCCAACCAAAGTCCCTCCCCCGGTGCAGCCAAAACCATCAG